ACCCAGCCTGGGCAGGAAAGTCCGAGAGACTATTAACTCCAATAAACCACCAGAAAACCGGAAGTGGGGCTGTGGCTCAAGTAGTAGAGTTGAGCTGAAGAGCTCCCAGAGTTCAAGCCCCACGACCAAAAAAAAAAAAAAAAGAGGTGTCCTTAGGAGATGATTAGGTCACAGGAGTTCCATCCTCATAAGTGAAATTAATGTCCTTATAAAACAGGACTAAAACACTCTTAGACCCATTTCTACCATGTGTAAACATGGCTAGCAGGGAGTGGGTTCTCAGCAGACATCTAATCTCCTGGCACCCTGATCTTGAACTTTCTAGCCTCCATATCTGTGAGCAATAAATTTATGTTGCTTATTAATTGTCCATTCTAAATCATTTTATTTTAGCAGCCAAACCTAAGGTAGTATATAAAAAATTGATCTGATTATGTAATCTGATTCTAATCCATGTTCATAGTTTAGTCTAGCTTCTTCCCTTAATTACTTGAACTTCTTTCTCTGATAGTGAGAAAACAGACTTCCCAATATCTACTATCTGTTTACTCACTCATTTTGAAATCAAAACACACATACAGAAAGAGACTCCATAAAAATTTTCCTAACATCTCACATGCTGGGATTATCCTTATTTTCCCTAAACCTCTATGCCTGTTATTTTAATGTCATAATACATGCCTTTCCATATAGTTTGCCAAGTCTAAATGTAATAAACACAAAGGCATAGAAATGTGTCTCTATGTTTGTATGTATTTTGTTCTACAGAAAGCATTTGGTCTGAAAATAGAATCTGAGAAATAGAATGTTTTACAAACACACCACTTAATTCTAAAGTACAGTCAAGATTAAGAATCACTGGCCAAAGGGCAAACAAATGCAGTAATGATATTCATTGGACACTATGTTGAAAATGTACTACTTGTATACAACTTGTGGGTGGAAATGGGAGGGAAAAACTTGGAGAGAGAGAGGGAAGGTAAAACATTGGCCAGAAAGAAATGTACTCTTTACCTCACATATAACTGTTACCCTTCTGTATATCACCTTTATAATAACAATAAAGGTATTTTTAAGAAGGAATCACTGATTATACTAAGCCAAATATGTCCATCCTTGCATGGTTGTATGGGATGATGTCAGATGCATTTGTAATCAGAGAGACAGAGACTTCTGTCTGTCTGTCTGTCTACCTATCTATCCATCTATCTACTTATCTATATGCCTATCTACCTCTATATATCTATCTGTAGATATATCTGTCATATATTCATATATCTAGATATATCTATAGAGAGATAGACATAAACAAGCAAACTATAGAAATAAGGAATGAGTTAGACTAGAAACATGAAACTTCATGATATAAAGAAAAGCTGATATAAAGAGCACAGGTTAAAATAGACAAAAATACAAAAAATGAGGAGCTACTATAAGCCACTTGGAACAAGAAAACCTAAGTGTTGCAGGCAGGAATACCCCTTCAATTTTGATAGTTTCCTAGTTGCTAGTCTGGAAAAATCATGTTCCTTTCTATAGTGAACTTAGCTAAGAAGTGATGTAGCAACTAAAATAGTCTGATAATAATATATAGATCTGAAAGAAGAATAAATGAAAGGAAGGAAATTGATCAAAATTCTGGAGATAAGGTAATGAATGATCTGGGTACTGGTGGCTCATGCCTGTAATCGTACCTAATTAGGAGCTGAAAGCTGAGGATCGCAGTTTGAATCCAGTGCAGGAATTAAAGAAGAAAAGTGTGTGAAACTCGTTTTCTCTCCCCTCCTCCCTCCCTACCTCTTCCCTCCTTCTTCCCTTCCCTCCCTCCCTCCCTCCCTCCCTCCCTCCCTCCCTCCCTTCCTTCCTTCCTTCATGTACTGGTCCCAGGGCTTGAACTCAGGGCCTAGGTGCTGTTTCGGAGTCTCATGGTCTCTCCTGCCAGGGCTGGCTTTGAACCGAGATCCTCAGATCTCATCGTCTTGAGTAGCTAGGATTACAGGCGTGAGCCACCAGCGCCCGGCTCAAATGATTGATAGCTGCTGTACAGATCTCTCTCTTTTTTTTTTGTCAGTCGTGGGGCCTGAACTCTGGGCCTGGGCGCTGTCCCTAAGCTCTTCAGCTCAAGACTAGCGCTCTACCACTTGAGCCACAGCACCACGTCTCCTGCGAGACTCTTATCTCCAATAAACCACCAGAAAATCAGAAGTGGCACTGTGGCCCTAAGTGGTAGAGTGCTAGCCTTGAGCAAAAGCTAGCCTTGAGGAACAGCACCCAGGCCCTGACTTCAAACCCAATGACAAAAAAAAAAGAAAGGAAGAAAGAAAGAAAGAAAGAAAGAAAGAAAGAAAGAAAGAAAGAAAGAAAGAAAGGAAGGAAGGAAGGAAGGAAGGAAGGAAGGAAGGAAGGAAGGAAGGAAGGAAGGAAGGAAGGAAGGAAGGAAGGAAGGAAGGAAGGAAGGAAGGAAAGTAAGAAGAAAGAAAGAGGCAAGAAAACAAACAATGATATTCACATATGTATTATGGGCTCCCCAACATTTCTCGGGTTCCTTGGCAATCAAGTTGGAGGCCTGTGTCTATTCTGATTGTGTTGTTTCTGTTTCATAGCTCCTAAAGCCATATAGCTAGGAGCTAATGTGAGTCCTCTGTGCTTTGAATCCTGGAAGATTTAAACTTGGAAGCAATGAAAGTTAAGATGGAATATTTGGAAGATAGACATATCCATGATCTATAGGAACATGATCAACAATAGCCAGCAGACTTTTTGGAACTTCATGAGAAGGACCTGAGACCTACAAGACACTCCTAGGCTAAGTTATGAATACTGGAGGCAAGAGTTCGGAGTGGGGAAATGTTATCTTACTTTGGCCTAGTCTAGCTCATCTCATCCAGTCTAATTCATGAATATATGCATTTCACATTTTGTGTATCTATACAGCTGCATCAAATTAGAAAAATATATCTTTGCTCTTTCTGGAAGAGCTAGAAACAGTATTATTTAATCTTATAAAATTCAATTATTGCACTTATTGCAATGATTCAATTTGGGACATATGTGCATATATGTCCATACATGCTCATTCATATTTTTATTTTTTGTTGTTGTTGTTTTTTGGGGTCCAGTTGTGGGGCCTGAACTCTGGGCCTGGGCACTGTCCCTCAGCTCTTCAGCTCAAGGCTAGCACTCTACCACTTGAGCCACAGCGCCACTTCCAGCTTTTTTCTTTTTGCGTATGCGGTGCTGAGGAATCGAACCCAGGGCCTCATGCATGCAAGGCAAGCGCTCTACCACCGAGCCAACTTCCCAGCCCATCATTCATATTTTTAGATGTTCTGAAAAGGGAAAAGGATTGAGAGGTAGGAAGCAGGGAAGAAGTGAGGAAAGAAGGAGAGAGAACTGGAGGAAATCTAGGTATGCATCATGATGGAGCAGAATGGAAGGAACAAAACCTCAAAGCACTCAGTGAACTGCTCAGGAGCAGTCGTGGCTCCTGTGACTGAAAAGGCTAAAAAGGAATAAATAAGACAGGGTCCACAATCATACTCTAGCCAGTGCCTGGTGGCCCTCTAGGTTGACAAAAGAGAAAGAATGGGACAGAGAAGGCCATGAAATCTGTGTTCTAGGAACAGCAATTTCTCCCATATCATTCTCTAGCATCTGAGCCAATGCTGACCACCATCCCCAGCTGTGGTTTAACAGCCTTGTAGCTGCAGGTGGCAGAGGGTGTATAAGCAGTCAGATGGATACCACAGTGGTGAGTTTGACTACAGACCATGAGACAGGAGTGCAAAATACCACTGTAAAACTTGGCTGTGCCAAAGGGTCAGAGAGCTGGCAGACTTAGCTATGATGCAATTAGAGTAGGAGGTGGTCATAGAGGAAGTGAGTGTTAGACAGAAACAGAAACTCTTCCCCAAATGAACTAGCCACTGAAATTTCAAAGCACATGCATAAATCTAAGCTGACAGACAAACCAGCCAGGAAACAAACCAGCAAGGAAGCCAATACTCAATTGAAATGAAAATGAATTTCACAGAGTAAAATAACTATTAACCATGAGAAAGGCAACCATTTGGGATAGACTATGCAAAAGCCTATTCTAATCATATTGAAGGGAAGGATTCGTGTTCAAGGTGTGAGTTAGGCATGCAGAAGATATACTATGACCAGAAAGAGAATAAGGGGCCTAGGGGAATAGCTCAAGAGTGGAGTGCTTGCCTAGCAAGTACATGGCCCTGGGTTCAAACCTCAGTACCATGGAAAACAAACAAAAACTAATTTTTTTAAAAAAGATCGATCAAGATGCACTGTATTGACAGATTGGCATGCTGAATTGTAATCCTTTGTAGAATGACTTGAAGATTATAATGCAAATTTATCCTCATAGAGACACACGTAATACATATATGTACATGTATATCTGCATACACACATTGTATAAATATGTGTACATGTCTGTGTATACATATATACCTATACACATAGGTATCTATCGATCTATCTATCTATCTATCTATCTATCGATCTATCTATCGATCTATCTATCTATCTATCTATCGCTATATCTATAATAGATGAGTGGTTCTCTACCACACTAAATTCCATGAAGAACGTGTTGGGCTCGATGCCACAAGGAACTTTCAAAATCATCTTGAGTTGAGGGATGCTGGATCCTGAGGCCGAAATCATCTTCATTTATTTCCTTCCCAATCTTAAGAAATGACAGCGTGGTGATCTCTGGAGCCTGGGAGGTGAAGTCAGAGCACCGAGCCACAGCGAGAGAAGCGTGGCGGGAGCTTCGGAGGGCGCCCAGCCTGCAGGTCATCTCGCGAGACTTGCCGCTGCGCCGCTGCGCCCCGGCGGGAGCTCGTTCCGGTCTCCTGTGTCAGCGCGTCGATCCGCAGCCTCCTTCGCCCGCCGCTTCCATGGCTACTGCAGGGCGGGCCGGAACTTTTGTACGTAGGAACGGCTTTGCACGGTGGAGCTCGCCGGGGAAGGGGAGGAGGACAGGGTGCCCTCCTCTTCCTGTCGCGGCCCCGAAGCGAAGCGGAGCGACTCAGATCCCGGAGCGCGGTCCCCAGACCGGCCGCGTCTATGGTCGCTCCGCGGAACGCTTCGCCGGCTGGTGCTGTTTCATCGGGGAGGGCTGTATTCCATGGCAGGGAACTTTTGGCAGAGCTCCCATTAGTAAGTGACCTTTCCGGTGTGCATCCGAGGCCGGTTCGCGATGGAGAGCCGACAGGGGTGGTGAGCCGGGGCCTGCGGCTCCCCCGGGCCTGGATCCATGTCCCCCCCCCGTCTCGTAACAAAACCGGAAGCGACCTGTGATGGCCAAGGGGGGGGGGGGACGGTGAAGAGGGGGCGACTTCCTCTCCCCAGCAGGGTTTTGGCGGGTGATTTGGTGGGGGAGAAGGGATCAGGGAAGGGAGGGACTCAAGTCTGCAGGAAAGGAGGTGAATTTGGGGGTCCCAGGGTTGTCTGGGTCTGTGTGTGTGTGTGGGGGGAGATGCTGTGAGGACTGGCGCGGGAAGCCTGTCTCCGGGGAGGGCTGGGAGGTGGCGGGTTTAGGACAGGTTTATGGATGGCTTTTGGCCCGGATGTGATCAGAGAAACGGCCTTGCTGATCCTTGCTTTTGTACTTTCTATGTTGAGTAGTTTTCATCACCCAAGGAATGTGTCAAGCTTGTTTGTTTTTAACGACCTCAACGTTTCCAGACTCTACTTCGTTAATGCCTAGTTGGGATGTTAGGTTGATAAAGTATAGGTCTTGTACCCCCAAGATTTTATCCATTCATTAGCTTGTAGCTGATAGTTTGTTTTTTTTTTTAAGCTGTATTTTCGCTGGGCGCCGTTGATTCAGGCCATGGCTAGCTATTACTCAGGAGGCGGAGGTCTTGAGGATCTAACCTGGCTTGAGTCTGTGAGACCTATCTCCAGTTAGCTACCGAGAAGCCGAAAGTGGACATGTGGCTCAAGGAGTAGAGCGCCAGCCTTGAGCAAAAGAGCTGAGAGATAGCATTCAGACCGGAATTGAAGCCCTAGGACCAGCACAAAAGACAAAACAAAACAAAAATGTATTTTCTAGGATAGAATGATCCAAGAGATGTTACCCATCAGGATACATTGTACTTACAAACTGGCATGTTGAATGGCAACTTCTTAAAGATAATAAAAATGTACTTAAAAAAAAGAAGTGTATTGCATAAGTAAAGGAAAAAGAAGTGTATTTGCTGGATTGCCACAATTCACTAGTAAATTTTAGTTTCTGTCTGACCAACTGGAGTAATAAAAAAAGTAAGTAAGCTATGTGATGGGGGCTGGTTAAACACTGACTTAGTTTTCCATTGTTTAGCTGAAAGATGAACAGGACTTGTTAAAGAAGATATCTAAATATTAATCATTTTTAGTGATCATTGATAATTGTAAAATTTTCTGGATACATATAGGATCAGTTCCTGTTGTTCAGTTACTTTTTAGTCCTTTGCATGAGAAATAAAGAAACATTGGACTTGTAAGCCAGTTTCTAAAGATGGTGAATTTCTTCCATGAGAAATGGTTTCAGGCTGGGAATGTGGCCTGGTGGTAGAGTGCTTGCCTAGCATGCATGATACCTTGGCTTTGATTCCTCAGTACCACATAAACTGAAAAAGCCAGAAGTGGTGCTGTGGCTCAAGTGGTAGAGTGCTAAGCCTTGAGCAAATGAAGCTCAGGAACAGTTTCTTCTACCTGAGTTCAAGCCCTAGGACTGGCAAAAGAAAGGAAGGAAGGAAAAAAGGAAGAAAATGGTTTCAGGGAGATGGAATGCTTTGGAAACTTTAATACTAATCATACCATGTTGCTTGGGGAAAGTTAAAATGCAAAAAAGATGAAGTGGAAATAAGATGCTCCCTAACATAAAAAACATAGTCTTTAAAATGTTAGGAAATTTAGGTTATCTTTTCATGTGTTTCTGATGTTAGTCAGTGGAATTGATAGACTGAGGTTTTTTTTTTTTTTTTTGGTTGGGTCGTGGGGCCTGAACTCTGGGCCTGGGCACTGTCCCTCAGTTCTTCAGCTCAAGGCTAGTGCTCTACCACTTGAGCCTCAGCGCCACTTCTGGCTTTTTTTCTTTTTGCTTATATGGTGCTGAGGAATCGAACCCAGGGCCTCAGGCATGCAAGGCAAGCGCTCTACCACTGAGCCACCTTCCCAGCCCCTGAGGTATTTTTTTAAAAGGCAAAATTAACTGGGTATCAGTGGCTCACCTCAGTAATCCTATCTGTTCAGAAGGCAGAGATCGGGAGGTTAGAGCCTGGGAGAAAAGTTCTTCAGACTCTTACCTTCAATTAACCAGTAAAAATAAAAAGTTCTAGACTGGAGGGGTACCTCTTGTGGTAGACCACCAGTTATGAGAAGAAAATAAAGTCCTGAGCTTAAGCTATGGTAACTGTACATACACACAAAGACAAGTTATCAGTATGTTGAGATAAAAGTAGTTAGATGAGAATCATTAAATGCTTTCTTTTTTAGTGGATAAGAGGACATCAAATATTAAAGAATAAAATTAAGAGATGAATAAAATAGGAAGAAAGCCTTAAAACTCCATGGTGGAACCTATTTTAATAAATGAAGTTTGATTTTAGTATTGCAAGATGACTTCCCTTTTTTTTTTCCTTTTTTTTGGGGGGTACAATGATCCTGTACATCAAATCTAAGAAAAATTGTGATAGCATAGTAATGTATAGCAGTGGAAAGTTTCTAAAGAATAGTAGCATGGATTTATTTTCTGTATTTTAATTTCTTAATGTTTTATGTTGTAAGGACATAGAACAGGGAAAATAAATTGAAAACAGGACATTATAAATCAGTATGTCAGTGACATTTAGCTGAATCTTATGTTTACATCTATACCAAAATAAACTCCAAACATATTAGCAGCTAAAAGAAAATAACCTAAGGCTATTGAGAAATTTGGGTGAAGTTTTAGAAATTATTTTAAACAAGAGAAGGCCTTTCAGTATATAGCAAAGTAAATGATGGTCTATTTAAAGAAAAAATTAAAAGTATCAAGAAATATGTAAGTTTGAAGATGGGGGGAGGGCTTGAACTCAGGGCCTGGGCTCTGTCCCTGAGCCTCTCTGTGCTCAAGGCTAGCATTCTACTTGAGCCACAATGCCACTTCCAGCTTTTTCTGTTTATGTGGTACTGAGGAATCGAACCCAGGGCTTCATGCATGCTATGCATGTACCATCGTACCATTAAGCCACACTCCCAGCCCTTGCAGAAATTTTTACAGCTTATTTTATAAATGATTCCTCCACACTATACTAATTTGACATCAAAAGGAGCTGTTAATTGGAAAAAAATGACAACTTTACTAGAAAATGATCATATTAGAATTAATAGATAAATTAAGTGTATTTGGCCAATGAAGGCATAATGAGATCTTTACTTTAGTGGGAAACACTAAGTTGCTTTACCTTGCCTTTAAGCTTTTGTTATTAGATTTTTGTTTGTTTGTTTTTGTAGTACTGGTAATGAAGCTCAGGGCCTTGTGCATCCTAGGTAGCACTCTATCACTGAATTATATCCTTGCCCTTTTCTGCTTTATTTTGAGGTAGGGTCAAACTCATGATCTTCCTGCCTCAATCCCCCAAGTAGTTGCATTATAGACATGGCTTACCTCTAACTTTTGAAGTATGTGAAAAATTAGCAGTAACTCATAGGATTTGATTTTTTTTTTTAAATACAAGGTCTTATTATGTTGCCTAAGCTGGCCTCAGACTTGCTGTGCAGTCAAACAAGGCTGGTCTTGAACATATGATTTCAGTTGTGGGGATTATGGATGTGTCTATTGATCATCCAGAGTATCAGCCATGTTGTTTAGAGAACTTTTTTGTTTTATCTTCTTTACTTTTATCTTATGTGATAGGGATCAAACTCAGCCTAACATGCCTAGCAAATGCTGGACTACTGAACTACATACATCCTTAGTCATTTTTTTTCACTTTGTTTTGGGACATAGTCTGTAGTTCTGGCTAGCTTCAAATTTATGATCTCCTTCCGCCTCCCTAGTAGCTGAGATTATAGGCACATACCACCATGCCTTGCTTACCTTTAAGGGAAGCCTTAGAACATATAAACTGTTAGTATGAATGGAAACTGTTGTAATTTGTTTTGGAGAGCAAGCTGACAATATGTATCAAAGATGCCAGCAAAACAGATCTATTTATCAGTTCTAAGAAATTGTATCCAATATATTACTAATCAAATATGCAGAAATAGTTAATTTTTATGTCTGCCAAGAATTGGATAATTCACTCTTAACTGTTGTGTAGCAGTTTAAAAGGATACCAAATAACAAATTCATTGTTTAAAATACTTCCTATATATACTGAGCACTTAGATTTCAGAATAGTATCTTGTGAGTCATTTAAATTTTATTTCATATCTCTGCTCAAAAGAAGTTCATTTGTCTAGGACTATGAGTGTAATAAAGTCTGAGGTAGCTTTTAACATGTTTAAAATTTGTAAAGCAAGGAAATTAAATGTCTTAGGTACCATAAAATGATGCCTAATAATTCCATTGTTATTTAATGAATCACTAAGAAAGAGTAAGCATGCTACTAAATAAAATACTAAGATGTCATTGTTGCTGGGTATTAGAAAGAGGAAATTACAGAGGAGAGGGGCGAGGTTAGACTGGAATAGTTTTCAGGGCCATACTTGCTTTATTAGTGAGATAATTCTCATTAATAATCCACATTTCAAGAAGTGAGAGAAATAATTGTGGTTTTTGTTTTATTTTGTTTTGTTTTGCTTTTTTGTTGTGGTGATGGTGCTAAAAATCTAATCTAGGCCAGGATCTTGCATATGCTGGGCAAGTGCTCTGCCATTCAGCTATATTCCCAGCATATGCCCAATATTGGCTTTTATGGTTACTTCTTAAACTTATGCATCTTGGAATATGAACTGCTTGTTAAGTGTTAGTGTGTTTTCTGCGACTTTGTTCATTTTCTATAACATAACTTTACATATTTATTTTTTAGTTTGCAATGGATTTTGGATAAACAAGATCTATTGAAGGAGCGCCAAAAGGACTTAAAATTTCTCTCAGAAGAAGAGTATTGGAAGTTACAAATATTTTTTACAAATGGTAAACTATTTTTGGTTGTTGTTGGTTGAAGTGGTATATAATTGGCTCTCTTAGTGTTTTTATATGGTTACTTGTTTGTTTGTTTTTTATTGTCAAGATGCTATATATGGTTACTTTTGATAAACTGTTGCATATTCATCTATCATGTTAGCACTCTGGTTAATCTAAATAAAGCTGTTTGAATTTTACATATGAAAGATAATTTGATAGTGATGACTAATCTTACTGAGTCTTTATAATGCAACTCAGTTTAAAGTTGGCTAAAAAAAATACTCAGGATAAGTGATTCATTGAAATTGACATCCTGCAGTTGATATTTTTACCCTAGAATTGTCCTACTATGGGAAAGGGATTTGGCCAGAAACCTTTAGTCTGCCATGGGATTTGTCATATGATTTTTCTAACCTTAGTTACTCTTCTGCAAACTTAACTGTTTTTGAGGGCACATTATGGATTTTTGTCTTTAGGGCGCTGGTGGCTCACACCTGTAATCCTAGCTATTCAGGAGGCTGAGATTTGAAGATTGCTGTTCAAAACCAGCCTGGGCAGGAAACTCCATGAAACTAATTTTTTTTTTGGTTGGTCATGGGGCCTGAACTTTGGGCCTGGGCGCTGTTCTTCAGCTCTTCAGCTCAAGGCCAGCCCTCTACCACTTGAGCCACAGTGCCACTTCTGGCTGTGGTGCTGAGGAATCGAACCCAGGGCCTCATGCATGCAAGGCAAGCACTCTACCACTGAGCCACCTTCCCAGCCCCCGTGAAACTTATCTCCAGTAAACAACTAGAAAACTGGAAGTGGCGCTGTGGCTGAAGTGGTAGAGCGCTTGCCTTGAGCTAAAGAGCACAGGGATAGCGCCCAAGCCTAGAGTTCAAGTTCCAGGACCAACCAAAAAATAAATAAAGTTATAGCTATACTCAGGAGGATAGCTAATGTTTTCTTTTTATATCATAAAATGAAAATCATTACAATATTGGATGATAGAGGGGACTATCATTCAACTTCGTTACTAAAAGAGTAACTTTTTTGGGGGGGGCACTTTCTCTTTTCTGTTTATCTGTACTAGTTTTGCAAATCCTAGCACTAAATTACTATGAGTTAGAGTTTTATAGCAGGTTTATCCCATTGTTAAAAATGAATATAGTCATGTCTTAAACTTGGAGAAGTTATTGTTGAAAGTTAACATTATAGTCATGATGCCAATTGATTTATTTAAAAACTATCATTTTCCTTTTAGTTATCCAAGCATTAGGTGAACATCTTAAATTAAGACAACAAGTTATTGCTACTGCTACCGTTTATTTCAAGAGATTCTATGCCAGGTAAGGCTATTTTATTTTGGGGACTATGTTATAGCTATCTGAAATATTTTTCTTTTTTTTTTTTTTTTTGCTTTGGTCAGTTGTGTAGTTTGAACTCTGGCCCTGGGCACTGTCATTGAACTTTTCAGCTCATGGTTAGCACTGTACCACTTGGAGCCACAGCAAACTTCTGGTTTTCTTGTGGTTAATTTAAGATGATGACTTTCCTGCCTGGACTGGTTTTGAACTGTGATACTCAGATCTCAGCCTCCTGAGTAGCTAGGATTACAGGTGTGAGCCACTGGCACCTGGCTGAAATGTTTTTCCTTCCTTCTTGCTTCCTTCCTTGCTTCCTTGATTCCTTGCTTCCTTCTTCCTTCCCTCCCTCCCCCCTCTTTCTTTCTCTTTCTTCCTTTCCCTCCCTCCCTCCCTTCTTTTCTTCCTTCCTTCCTTGGTCTTGAACCTTAGCGCCTGGGTGCTGTCCTGGAACTCTTGCTCAAGGCTAGCACTCTGCCACTTTGAGCCACAGCTCCACTTCTGGTTTTTGAGTGGTCAGTTGGAGATGAGAGTTTCATGGGGGATTTTCTGCCTGGGCTGGCTTTTAACTTCAATCCTCAGATCTCAGCCTTCTGAGTAGCTAGGATTACTGGTGTGAGCTAGGTGGGTCCAGCTTCTGAAATGTTTTTCTAATATTGACAAACCTTAGTGTAAATGAATTGCTTGTTTGCCAGGGTTGTTGTGTTTTTTCCCCCCACTGTATTTTCTAAATTGTAATGTTTTAACTTTATTTTTGTCATATTTTAGGTATTCTCTGAAAAGTATAGATCCTGTATTAATGGCTCCTACATGTGTGTTTTTGGCATCCAAAGTAGAGGTATAAAATATTTTTCTGTTTTACATCAAATATAGTTAATATATGTTGGTTAAGAAGTGGTGCTATGGCTCAGAGTGGTAGACTGGATGCTGTCCCTGAGTTTCTGTGCTCAAGGCTTTTTGGTGGTTAATTGAAGATAAGAATTTCATGGACGGGGCTGGGAAGGTGGCTCAGTGGTGGAGCGCTTGCCTTGCATGCCTGAGGCCCTGGGTTTGATTCCTCAGCACCACATAAGCAAAGACAAAAAAGCTGGAAGTGGCGCTGTGGCTCAAGTGGTAGAGCGCTAGCCTTGAGCTGAAGAGCTGAGGGACAGTGCCCAGGCCCAGAGTTCAGGCCCCACGACCGGACCCAAAAAAAAAAAAAACCAAAAAAAAGAATTTCATGGACTTCTCTGCCTGGGCTGACTTGGGACCATTATATTAACATCTCAGCCTCCTGAGTAGCTAGGATTATAAGAGTGAGCCACTAGCACCTGACACTTTTTTAGTATTTTTTGATAGCTCAGCACTTAGCTAAACCCAAGACAATAGCAGACTATGAAAACTGGGTGTTTTGTACAACTAATCTATGTAGTCTTTAGTGTTAACAACCCTAATTTAGTTTTGTTTTAGCCATTGTTTAGGAGTAAATTACCTAAATGATGAGAATTGACTTTATTAGAAATAATATTAAGAAGAACATTCTAAAATTTAAGGTTCTAATTGTGGGGAGTTTGTGTTTTTTTACTTTTTTTTTTGTCAGTTATTGGGCTTGAACTGGGGGCTGGGCGTTGTCCCTGAGCTCTTTTTGCTCAAAGCTAGCACTCTACCACTTTGGCCCATAGCTTCACTTACAGTTTTCTTGTAGTTAATTGGAGGTAAGAGTCTCATGGACTTTTCTGACCAGGCTAGGTTTGACCTGCAATCCTCAGATCACAGCCTCCTGAGTAGCTAGGATTACATACGGGAGCCACCAGCGCCCAGCTACAAGAAGTATTTTAAGCAGGTAGAATCTAAGTTATTTAATTGAAAATAAATAGTTTGTAAATGGCCCTTACTCTAGAGTGGTTTTTTTCCCCCAAAAGTGTATTTTTTTTCTTTATTGAGATTAAGTAATTACATAAATTTCACAAAATTCACAGGATTGTGGGATAGTGATACTTAGTTAAAGTCACACATACATTTTAAGCTTCATGAGGCTCATTGTCATTATCATTAAAGCTTATGGTCTCTACAAATTTTGACACTACAGCTATTTTTTCCAACCTGGGAGATATGTACATTTTTTTCCTTTTGCTTAGTGTAAGCTGTTCCCCCTTTCTCATTTCCTCCCTCCCATCACTGCCCTTGAGTTGCTTAGTTCACTAAAGTATAATATTTTATATATCCTGGGCTGGGAAGGTGGCTCAGTGGTAGAGCGCTTGCTTTGCATGCATGAGGCCCTGGGTTCCATTCCTCAACACCATATAAGCAGAAAAAAAAAAAGCTGGAAGTGGTGCTGTGGCTCAAGTGGTAGAGCGCTAGCCTTGAGCTGAAGAGCTGAGGGGACAGCACCCAAGCCCAGAATTCAGGCCCACGATCGGGCCCCCCCCTCCCAATAAATAAATTTATATATCTTAAGCACAACTAGTATGGGATACCAAGACAAAATCTTTGTAAACCTCCACCCTTGTAGTTTAGTGGGAATTTAGTTTGTCTTGTTTGTTATTTGGTACTTTAGGTATAGCTCAGTGATAAAGTGAATGCTTAGTGTGTTGGCTCAATTCCTATTACTACAGAACCAAAATAAAAGTTTTGTTATGATTTACTGAGTACAGCTCTGTTACTTTGCCAAGTAAAAGTTTTCAACTTTTATTTTTCACCATATGAATTTTTTTATTTATTTATTTTTTTGGTCGGTTGTGGGACCTGAACTCTGGGCCTGGGCACTGTCCCTCAACTCTTCAGCTCAAGGGTAGTGCTCTACCCCTTGAGCCACAGTGCCACTTCTGGCTTTTTCTGCTTATGTGGTGCTGAGGAATCGAACCCAGGGCCTCAAGCATGCAAGGCAAGCACTCTACCACTGAGCCACCTTTCCGGCCCTCAAACATTCTTTTGACAAGCAGTTATTTAGAACTGGAAGCATGGTTCAAGTGGTAGAGCATCAGTATGACCTGGATCAAGAATTATTGGGGGGAGGGGACAGTGTATCTTTTTGGATTTGATTGTAGCGTTATTGTTTGTTTTTAATCTAATCAAATATTTTTATCTAATTATGGAAATTGTATACAGATGGTGTTTAGTAATACATCTCAGGCTTTCATTTTTATTTTCACTTGCTAGGATTGAAAATGCTAATATAAATACACATTTATATTGTCCCTACAAAGGATATAGGTTGAAGTGTATGAACAGTTTTGTTTTGTTTTGTTGGATAAGGAATCAATCTTGGTTTTTCCTTTTTAAAATGAAATGAAAGCTTTAGAGACCTTAATGGGTTTTATGTGAAATTAAATGGTACAACATATGTGAAGTGGATCACTTGATAATTCCAATGATGGGCAGTGGTAATATATTGAGTTGAAAGAGGAAAAGACAGTTTATCTTAGAAGTCTTATCATACATTCTTATTTTTCTCTTTCAGAAAAGGTCGTAGATACTTGTACAGTCTTCTAAGTAATGCCAAAGTTTATATTATTCAGAGATTTGATATACTTTCATGATATGAAGTATCTGTTCATTAGTCCAGGTCCAGTTGGATAGATACTGAATACTGCTTCTTATGGTTTAGTATAGAATTTAAATTTTTTTCTTGGAAATGGGTTTATTAGCAGAAACTGGCATTGTCACTTTAGGAATTGGTTTCTTTTTTTTTTGGAATTGGTTTCTTTTATTGAGATTAAATAGTGAAATTATTTAAAATTTTGCCTTAGTTTGTGAGTTAGTACAGGATTTTGAACTTAAGACTTTACACTGCTAGGCAAGGTGCCCTGTCACTTAGCCTCACCTCCAGGTCTTTTTGTTCTGCACCTGGCCTACACTGCAGTTCTACTTGTGATTTGTTGTAGCTAAGATGATAGGCTTGAACCACCATGCCCAATTTTTTCTGTTGGGGGGGGGGAGCAGTCTCAAGACCTTTTTTTGCCTGGGCTGACGTGGAACCATAATCCTCCCAGACTCAGCCTCTATTGGAGCTAGGATGATAGGTATATATACTCCATGACACCCATCTGCTGATTGAGATGTTGTCTCATGAACTTATTTTGCCTGGGCTGACCTCAAACTGCAGATTCTCATGATTATAAATAGGCATGAACCACCAGTATGTAGGTAAATTGTGAAAGCTTCAAGGAACGGTAAATTTAGAAATTTAAATATTTCATACCTAAGTTAGAAGCTGAAGACTATAAACAGGAAAGGAGTTTGCAGATACTCTTTTGAATAGACCTGATGTTTATTGGATTACTGTGTATCTGATCACATCCACTTTTTCTTTCTCTAGGAATTTGGAGTGGTTTCTAATACGAGGTTGATTGCTGCTGCTACTTCTGTATGTAAGTGCAAAAAGTATGCTCTGCTTTAACCACGTAATCTAAAGAAAGCTCCATAGTACACAGATATTTTGTAGTTTATAAGACACATGTAGTTGAGTTTATTATATCTCCCAAGAATAACTTTATTACTAGCATATGTGTCAAAAATAAGTTAAAAAGGTGTTAACCACATCTAAGGCAATATTTTTAAAAAAATTACTAAGCAGTTGTATAAGGAGTTTACAATTCCATAAGTCAGGTTATGAGTACTAATGCTTCTTGGTCATTGTCACCCCTTCCTTCATTATCCCCCTCCTATCCTTACCCTCAATTTACATAGTTAATGTACATTGGCTATAATTATAGGCTACATTTGCTTCCCCTTCTTCCCTCCATTTCTGTGCCCTCCCGTTGCTTACTCCCCAAAACAGGTCTCTACTTCCTGATTCTTATTTTGATAAATACTAAGTTGTACGGAGCAATTACAAAAGTCAGAACTTGTATTTTTTTTTTTTTTGCCAGTCCTGGGGCTTGGACTCAGGGCTTGGGCACTGTCCCTGAGCTTTTACTCAAGGTAAACACTATGCCACTTGAGCCATAGTGCCACTTCCGGCTTTTTCTGTTTATGTGGTACTGAGGAATTGAACCCAGGGCTTCATGCATGCTAGGCAAACACTACCACTAAGCCACATTCCCAGCCCAGTACTTGTAATTTTAAAAATAAGTATTAACAATCAGCCTTAAAACATTGAGTCAGGAGTTCTTAATTTTATGAGGATGAAAAAAATCATTTTCCAATTTTTATTGTTTTAACTAGCTATCGTTATTCTTTGGGCTAGATTCACCCCTTTCTGTAGTAACTATAATGTAATGTATGTATTCGATGAGAATTGTGAATTATCATACCTCCAAGTTGAAAAATGTTACATAGGGTAGTCACTAAGCTAACTTTCAGCCTTAGTTCTGTCTCTTGATAATTGTGCTTTGTCCCTAATCAGCTGTATAACCTTGAGCAAGTTGCTTGGTCTTGGATCTTTATCTAAAAAGATGGATGTTTAGCTGTATATGAATCAGGGTTTAAATAGAAATAACATTATGAAATAATATAGAACTACTGTACACAGCTTACTAATATTGTGGTATGCTCTATCTTTTTAGATTAAGCAAAAAGACTATCTGACGAGATCATTCAGACCTTTAAAATTATTTCTGTGATCTACACAAGTGAAACCATTCTGTTTTCTGTGAACCAAGCTGAGTGATTTTTATATTTTGAGGTCATCATCTTTTTTTGAGAGGTACATAATAATCTAGTCCAATGTTTTTCATGTGTGCAAAATAATTGCAAATGAGGGTTGGAGATGTGGTTCAGTGGGTAGATGACTAGCCAGTGAGCAGAAGCATCAGGTACTGAGTTCAAGTCCTACTCTTGAACCAACAAAAGAAAGAATTCTAAATGCTAACTGATGTATTTAGTTACTCTTTGACTCGGACTAATAAATCCCTACTTCTAAAGTATTGACTATATAGTAACTTCCTGCTAATGTATTGTTGGGACGGGGTCTGAGGAAAGGTAAGTGCGGCCACTCGCCCATTCCCCAGCCTCCCTCAGCCCAGGAGACAATCAGACACACGGGGAGTCAACTCAAGCAGGAAAACTCATTTATTAACACAGAGCAGCCCTTTTTAAAGCAAAAAAGAGCGGGTGGCATGGCAGGGGAGGAAGAGGAACCAATCACTGTCAAGGTCACACCCTATCATGAACCTAAGCTTTCACGGGCTGAACGTAAAGCAAATTGGGCTCTGCCCACTCAACTCCCTCTCAGCGCCATCTTTGCTGCCCATGTACTCTACAGATTCCCCCTTTTTTGTTTTAATGGCAGACCCACCTCCTAGTTAGTTATCCTTTTCCCTCCTCTGTAAAGGTTATTTTAACAGGATTACATTGGTAAGGATAGCATTGGCCACGCAGGGGGTTCGAGGCATGTCTGGGGGGCGAGATTCGCCAAACAAGGATGGGAGGGCCCTTGTGCATGATCCAAGAGCCTGTCCCAGTTACCTCACATCCCCACCTAGCAGAGTAGTAAACATCAGTCCCATCAGTTAGAAATGTCTGAAGCAGTTCAATTAATTCCTGGGCATATATAAAAGTCCGTATCTCGTAAGGTCGTCCTCTTCAGAATATGGGAGCAGCCTGGGTATTGGGAGTTCCAAACATGCGGAACAGTGCATCCTCGTGGGCCCCCACACTCAGGCCATTCTACTATAGTCCAGAAAAACAAGGAAAATTTAAAACAAACTGCAGACATAGCAAAGCAATCTTGGGCACCTGTTGTCTTTTAAGTAAGCCAGTTCCTTGTACGTGCCTTTAAGCGAGCACAGGGGTCAAGATGACCTTTGAGCTTTACTGTCAGCTCCCAATGGCTCTCAATAATGTATATGTTATGGAAAGGGAGAAAAGAAGTAACTATAGTGGAGAAATCTGGCAAAATCCTTCCTCACTCAACTGCTATTGATCAAGATCAATAGCAGTGGTGATAAAATACATTAATATTGGGAACCCTTGATGTGTTAATGACAAAAGTGGTACTTCTTTGTCTACCTTGAAGACTCCATAATCCCAGTCCAATCATTGGGAAAACATCAGGCCTATTTCAGTAGGGGGCACCTTTAGCGTAGCTTAGTACTACTAAGAATTACAAATCATCAAGAATAGAGAAAGTCTGGAAAACTTACAGCCAAAGTCTAAAAAGTCTAAAGAGGTGTGTAATATAGTATCTCAGATAAATTCCTGGAATAGAAAAAAGAAAGACTCCTCCCTCTCTCTTTTACTCCTTTTTTCCTTTCCTCCCTCTTTCCTTTCTATTTTACAAGCATATATAGTATTTGAAAGTGGCATTTATATAACATTTGTGAACACGTACAACTCCCATGTCCCTTCTAAACTGAATTACTGGAGAATAGAACAGTATCATTCTAGTACTAGAATGATTTTCATGATGAAAAAGTCAGTGTTTTTTTTTTCACTCTCTGAATTTGTTTTGATACAACAGCAGAATCCTTTAATATAAAGTTAAAATTGAACCTCAAATTATGGTATAGGGTATATACCAGCTTGTCTTTCTCTTCTTGGAAGTAAATAAAGATACAGAGATAAAGGGTGACCACATCTATCAAGATGCATTGCATTCATGAACTGATTTGTTGAATGGTAACTCCTTTGTACTTCATTATTTATACTTAAAAATAATTTTAAAATATAATTAAAAGAAAAGATACAGATTCCTAAGCATTGTCAGGAGAGACTACTCAGAATTTTGCAGACATACTCTCTAATATTCTCTACTGTGATAAAGGAATTGAGTTAATTCACTTAGACATTTTCTAAGTTGTTTTTTTTTTCTGCAGTGAAAACTAGATTTTCATATGCCTTCCCAAAGGAATTCCCCTATAAGATGAATCATGTAAGTATATTATATAAATCACTCATCAAGACAGTATATGAAATAGCTGTATTTAACAGTAAAATGTCAAATACTTCAAGAATATATATAATATTTTAAATTAAAGCACAATGCCTTCTATTTTATTTTAGTTTTTTTGGTTGTGGAGCTTGAACTCTGGGCCTGGGCACTGTCCCTCAGCTCTTCAGCTCAAGATAAGCGCTCTACTACTTGAGCCACAGTGCCACTTCCAGTTTTCTGGTAGATTATTGGAGATAAGAGTCTCACAGACTTTCCTGCCCGGGCTGGCTCTGATCTGGGATCATCAGATCTCAGCCTTCTGAGTAGCTAGGATTACAGGCATGAGCCACTGACACCCAGCTTGCACAAAGCTTCTAAATCATTATTTTTAAAAAATGTATTGTAGCAATTGTGCTGCCCATTATATCACCTTGGCAAGTGTTCTACCTGTTGGGCTCTGCTTCTGCTTCTAGCCTTTTTTAGCTTTAGTTATTTTATGGAGAGAGTCTCACAGTTTTTGCTCAGGCCAGGCTGAACTGCAATCCTCCTGCTCATGCCTCCCTCACCTGTGTCTGGATTGACTTTGAATTGTGATTCTCCTGAGTAGCTGGGATTACAGGAGTGAACTACCTCCAATGTCACCTAGAAACTTAATACTCCACATTAAATCATTAATTCTTACACTTGGAAGCTCTGGCATTCGTATTCTTTATAAGCTTCCAGGTGACACTAATGTGCATCTGGGGTTGAGAACTACAATAATGGATCAGGATGAAAGCATATTTGAAAAGTTAACATTGTTTAATAAGATGAGTTTCTATTGTTATTTTGCTAGGTATATCCTTTTTTCATGTTGCAGGGGATTTTTCATGTTTTTGAAAATGGTTTTAGATATAATTGCATTTTTCATTTGTTGTATGAAAGTATTGAAAAATATGAAGATTTTGGGGGCTGGGAAGGTAGCTCAGTGGTAGAGTGCTTCCTTTGCATGCATGAGGCCCTGGGTTTGATTCCTCAGCACCACATAAACAGGAAAAGCTGGAAGTGGTGCTGTGGATCAAGTGGTAGAATACTTACCTTGAGCTGAAGAGCTCAGGCACAGTGCCCAGGCCTAGAGTTTAAGCCCCATGACCAACAACAACAACAAAAAAAATGATTTTGTAGTTTTCTCTTTGTTATTCTTTGTTCTCTTTTGTTTGGGGTTTGAACTCAGAATCTCATGATTGCTTGGTATGGGCATTCTTATCACTTGAGCTATATACACACTTATCCTGTAACATATTTTAAATAGAAATGAGTAAAGAAAATGCGGGGGCTGGTAATGGTAGGCTCGATGTAACAGTTTTAATCCCAGCACCAAAAAAAGGATTTTTTCCTTACATCTTTTTAAATGCTTTTTAATTGTAATTATATGAATTATATAATAGTAAAATAATTTTTGTTGTGCATGTTCTTTCTAATATAAGCTATCCTGCTTATTTTCTTGATTTAAAAATGTTGAGTATATAATAAATTACTAAAATGTTCATGAGTTGTTATTTTAAACCAAGCAGACTTGTAATTAGGCTTCTTGTTGACAGTAGATAATTTTTTTTTTAAACAGATATTAGAATGTGAATTCTATCTACTAGAACTAATGGTGAGTGTTTCTTTCCTGTAGTAATTGAAGTAAAGTTTATTTCTATGTTTAATAAAGCCAGGAATAATTTAATGAAGGGATTTGTAGGGAGGTACATTTTAAACCAGGTGATACTTGGTGAAATTATAGTAATCTAGTAACATCATTACCTGTTTCCTTTCTGATGTTGGGAAATAATTCGCATATCCTACTCAGTATGAAAAAAAGTTGTTCTGTTGTACCCATAATTAAAGGATCACAAGCAAACAAGTCTAAACCACTGTAAATTATGTGCACAGTCTGTGTATGTGTGCAGTGTTATTTGAAGGTAGACATGTCTTTGGCAGAATTCTGCTCCTTCATTTGGGAATTATGGACGTTCAGGCTAATGAGAGGTTTCAGTGTAATACGGATGTGACACTTTCAGTCTTTAAGGGAATGAATGGATGCTGATAGACTGCCAACGATTTACCAAGGTATATTCCAGAGAGAGCACTGCTTTCACTGTTACAGTAGAGTTCAGGGCTGTATCACTTGCTTTAAGAGAATAAGAGGGAAGCAAAATGAATTAGAGAAATAACATTTTGAAATGCACAACTATAAATCAGTTGGGCAATGATACCATTTTTGTGTTGTAATAATCTGCTTTTACACATGCACATTTGTTAAACTCTTTCTAGGATTGTTGCTTGATAGTGTATCATCCTTACAGACCTTTGCTCCAGTATGTGCAGGACATGGGCCAAGAAGACATGTTGCTTCCCCTTGCATGGTAATTAGAAAAGAAGTTTATTAATAGTGTACTGTGTTTGTGGATAGGAAAACTGACAAATAGGAAATTTAGTATTTTTAAAGTCATTAAACCAGTTCCTCCAAGATAAATTTGTGTTGAGCAAGAGATTAGCTTAAGTTTTAATGAATATAATGCTATAAATGTTAGTGATATTCATTTAAATGATCTACTTGATGACTGCTACCTGCTAAAATTTTATTTTGTATGAAAAAATAAGGAAAAATTATGAGTGAATTTGTCTTTAAAATGTATTTTTGGTAGTATTAAACATTTTCTTAATTTTTCACAAGTTAGAAAAAGGTGCTTGTTTTATATAATTTATTGAGAGTTTTCAAAATTTACTATATTTCCTTGTTGGCATGTGCAGATATCTGTCCTTTACCTTGATGTTTTTATCTTTATTTCTGTGTTTAGTAATAAAAAAGAGAAATAGGCACAAAGATAGGAAATCTGGCCCTTTCTGGGAGAAAAATGATTTGGTTCTGTTTTCATTAATATATGATTTATATTTCTATAGGAGAATAGTGAATGATACCTACAGAACGGATCTTTGCCTACTGTATCCTCCTTTCATGATAGCTCTAGGTATGTAAGTGTGGTGTGCCTTTATTTAAAAAGTTCTTAGGAATCTATTTAGGTCATTCTAAAGTAATTTTCACCCTATTGTACTTTATGTTTTTATGGTCCATAAAGTAATAGACTAAGTCTTGCATGTAAACTTTCAATAATATGAACTGCAACTGTCACAAATCAGGATTATTGTCCTCCTACCCCCTTTGTAAGTTTCTTTTTTCTTAAATTATATAAACAACTTTACCACTTTCTTTTTTAAAAAATAGAACATTTTTATTTAAAGGGGAAATAATTAAGTTTGTTAACATTGTCATAAAATGACTAAGCTTTTTTAATTCTAGGGCCTACCTAGATACTCAGAGATTGAATAGAGAAGCAAATGTGGTTCTGTCTATCTTGCAAGGAGTAAAGTTAGCTATCATTCTACTGTATATGGAGGCAGTAATGAGTTAGAACAGTCTTTGGAGTCAGATCATCCTGCCTTTAGACTTTACTTCCTTTACAGTGTGGGAAAATCACCTACTGTTTCTGACTTTGATACTTTGATTACCTAATTGTAAAAAAGAAGGGAGCTGATTCTGCTAATAGAATTTTCTTAAGAGTTAAACGAGATAGCTTATCAAATAGCCCATTGTTTTCTAGGCACTTGTTAGTTTCTATTCCTTTTCTTTCCTTCTGTTGATTTCCACTATTTTTTATTTGGGGGGGGGGGGTCCGGTCATGGGGCCTGAACTCTGGGCCTGGGTGCTGTCCCTCAGCTCTTCAGCTAAAGGCTAGTGCTCTACCACTTGAGCCACAGCACCACTTCCGGGTTTTTTCTGTTTTGCTTATGTGGTGCTGAGGAATCGAACCCAGGGTCTCAGGCATGCAAGGCAAGCCCTCTACCACTGAGCCACCTTCCCAGTGATTTCCACTATTTTATCCTTTAAACTTTCCCTGTTATTTAACTTTCCTTCCTATTTTACTAAGTTAGAATCTTGTTGATTTCTCTTTTTTTCTTTTAGTTCTTAAATGTTGATTTATTTTTATTTTTTAGCCTTCTTACATCAAGGGTGACAAATAGGTTTAGGTATATATTTATGCTTTTGTATCACTGATGATGATTGTAAAACATTGGATTTGGAAGGATTCTGAAATGGCATCTGTGTTCAGTGGGTAGAAATGCTAAGATCTGTTGTAGACAAGAAGGAGGAGATATTTTGGGCCATGTCTTTGCTGTAAGTGCCCTCTCTGTGGTCTTCTGTCATTTCTGTTTAGTCTTGGCTCATGGCCTCCACCAGTCTTTTGGTTAATCAAGACTGCATTCCTAAGTAGTTATTAATATCCATCACCCTTTTTACGCAGCTGTACTTGGCATGTCACTATTTCAGACTCAGGACTGAACTCTTGTCTCCAAATATGATTCTTTTAATGTCTTTCTTAGCTTGGTGAATAGAACTAAGTAGTTATCTTAGTTGAAACCAGCAATTAGATTCTTTGAACCTCTGAATAGCTACATGTAGTTAGTGACTATTACCTTTTGTGTCCCTTCTCTAAAGTGGTATCAATCTTCTCATTTCCATCAAACTTACCACAGAAGTTTTTTTGGTTTTTTTTTTTGTCGCTTATGGGGCTTGAACTCTGGACCTGAACGCTGTCCCTCAGCTCTTCAGCTCAAGGCTAGCACTCTACCACTTGAGCTACAGTGTCACTTCCAGTTTTCTGATGGTTTACCCTTGGAGATAAGAGTTTCACAAAGTTTCCTGCCCAGGTTGGCTTTGAACCATGATCCTCAGATCTCAGCCTCCTGAGTAGCTAGGATTACAGGCATGAGCCACCGGTTTCCGGCTAAACCACAGCAGTCTTCTAACTGGCTGATGGTTTTTGTCATCCCTGTGCTCAGAGAGCCAGTGTGTTCTCCCTACTGTTGAGTGAGGCTAGTGAGTCTCAATGCGGGTAGGAGGTGGTGGTAATTTTTCCCTAGGGAACATTTGGCAGTGTCTGGAGATGGCTTTAGATCTCACACTGGAGTGGGATACAACTTGGCTTCTAGTGGGTAGAAGCTGGGCTGTTGCTAGCAGCCTACAATGCATAAGACAATCTCAGTAGTTTCAGCAAGAATGACAGTAGTGCCAAGGTTGAGAAACTCTGAGCTAATAAATAGGGCTTTTAGTATTTTGAATTTTTTGGCAGTACTAGGGTTTGTAATCGGGACCTCATGTTTGCTAAACAGGTGCTCTACCACTTGAACCACAACCCTAGCACTTTATGCTTTAATTATTTTTCACGTAGGTCTCACAGATTTTTGTTTTGTTTTTCTGGGATCAGCCTAGATCACATTTTCCTCTTTATACCTACCATTTCCAAAGTAACAGCTGGGGTCACAGTCATTAGCTAGAAATTGTTAACCATAAAGTAAGATTTATTCTTGATAACTTTTTGTCCAGGCTAGCCTTGAACCAGTAGCCTCTCAGTCTCCAACACCTAAATAGCTAGGGTTTTAGGCACGAACACTGCTTCTGACTAGAATAAACCTTTTAAAATGCAGAATATGTCTCCCAATTAAACCTTTTATTGTACCTCTCAATTGATGGATAAAATCTACAGCCTCTTTTTACCATTTACATATGTGCTCTTCTTTCCTCCGCTTCTCACTTTTTTTTTTAAACACCCTCCTACCATCTTCCCCATGTCACCAGTCTGGTTTAGGATTTGTTCAATCCTCTTCATGGCATTTTCTGCAATATTTGAAGTTGCTTCTTTTAACGTGGGCAAACAGTATGCCAGTTGACATTTTAGTGGCTTTTTTTTTTGTTGTTGTTTAATTTCGGGCTAATTTTTGAAACAAGGATCCTCTCTAGCCAATAGTGGCATATTGGATTGTAGGCATGTGCCAAAACACTGGTTTTTCTTTTGTTGTTGTTTTAATCTTGTTTTTTGTTTGGAACGCTGAGACTAGAACAGGGCTTACAAAGTAGACAATCAATCCACCACCAAGCCACATCTTAACCCCCTTGGATTGCTGTCTACATTATCATTCTTAGCAAAGTCATACAGATAACCAGACCAGAGACTATGACTCTGTCATAAACTGGGATAGAATCAGGATAGCCAGGCTAAACAGTGGGAATTGTATAGATTATTGTCTATAAGCTCTTTGTTAGCGTTGATTGTGTATAATTTGTATAATTATATGCAATGCCTTACATTTTTTTCTAATATTTGATCTCAGCACTGATTCTTGACCAGTGTGGTCACTTGTCACTAAACCACTAATTTACCTGTGTGCTGAAAATGGGTAAAAGCTAAAAAAAATTAGAGGCAATATTACTTTTAATTGCAATATCAAAATATAATCGCTATTAAAACATGAGTGTATTGATGAGCTAGTTTGTTGTTTTTGTCAGTGACTTCTGTGCAACTTGACTACTCTGTGCTGCTGTTCAAAGATGACTTTCCCGTTGTAACCTCCCCATTGGATTGTGGTTGTCTTATGATTTCTCAAGGTATTTGGCACAATTAATGCACAGTGAAGAGCAGATATAAAGATCTTTAATGTAGTCTACTAATTTTTTTAATCTTTATCACAGTAAATTGATGAGCTGATCAGTAGTAGCTATTAAATATAACTAAAACAGTATGAGGCTAATGTACAGTTTATGAAAATCTTGTTCTGAGACTATATGTATGCAGTTAAACTTGAACAACTCTCTTTTTTCAGCTTGCCTACATGTGGCCTGTGTTGTACAGCAGAAAGATGCCAGACAGTGGTTTGCTGAACTTTCTGTGGACATGGAGAAGGTATTTCCTAAGATTCTATAGCCTTGGACATTTATAAATCCATATTGTAATAGGGCATGGGTGACTCATTCTTGTAATCCTAGCTACCTGAGAGACTAAGATTATGGTTTAAGGCTGTTAGCCCAGGCCAAAAAATTTATGAGATCCTTTTTCAACACCGTAATTGGGTGTGGTGGCATGTACCTCATACCTTTTGCTATGTGGAACACTAAGATTGGGAAGGTTGCGGTTCTAGACCAGCCCGGGCAGAAAAATCCAATACTTGCATCTTAATGAAATGAGTTAGAGATGGTCATACACACCTGTCGTCTAAGCTGGGACAGGAAGTGAGAATAAGCTGATCTCATTCCAGATATGTACCCAGGCTGGATATGACACCCTAAATAACCAGTATACAAAAAAGAGTTGGAGGTGATAGTGCACCAACTGAGCATGCTCCCAAATCATACTGTTTGTGAGAGGAGTGGATGTTGATATTTAAAGTTTTGTTTGGTTAGTTGGTTTAGGGTTAAACATAGTGGTCAACTTTTGATTATTTGGTTGCAGAGTAGCCTGTGACTTTGTAAAAGTTATATAGTGACCACTAATTGTTACTGTGAACTTAGATAACAGACTATTTCTGGGGAAGAAATGCTTGCTCCTTTTTTTTGTTTGTTTGTACCTTTTCTGCTCAAATATTGAAATCATAAAGTTAATCTAAGATGGGATCTATTTTAGAGAAGACAGGGCTAATTTTAGGAAACTGAGTGTGGTAGATTCTAGCTGCCAAGATGATTTTTCTTGTTTTACTTTTTTGTGGTTGCTTTTTTTTCTTTTTTTGTCAGTCTTGGAGCTTGAACTTTGGGCTTGAACACTGTCCCTCAGCTCTTCAGCTCAAGGCTAGCATTCTACCAAATGAGCTACAGCACTATTTCCTGTTTCCTGAGTGATTTATTGGAGATGAGTCTCATGTTCTTGCCTGGGCTGGCTTTGAACCACGATTCTCAGATCTTAGCCTCCTGAGTAGCTATGATTACTGACGCCTGGCTTGTTGTTGCTTTTGTTGTTGTTGTTGGTTTTTGTTGTTGGTTTTGTCGTGTGACTTGAACTCTGGGCCTGGGTGCTATCCCTGAGCTCTTCAGCTCAAGGCAAGCACTCTACCACTTGAGCCACAGGGCCACTTCCTTTGTATTTTTTTTTTTTTTTGTCGGTCGTGGGGCTTGAACTCTGGGCCTGGGCGCTGTCCCTCAGCTCTTCAGCTCAAGGCGAGCACTCTACCACTTGAGCTACAGCGCCACTTCCGGTTTTCTGGTAGTTTATTGGAGATAGGAGTCTCACGGTCTCTCCTGCCCGGGCTGGCTTTGAACCATGATCCTCAGATCTCAGCCTCCTGAGTAGCTAGGATTACAGGCGTGAGCCACCGGCGCCCGGCTGTATTTTATTTTTAAGACAGTCTTCCTAGGTAGCCCAGGAAGGCCTCAGACTCAGATTCCCTTATTCTTCTGTCTTAGTCTCCCCCCCGCCCCCAGGGGTGGAGGGGTGGGGGGGTGGGGGGTTGGTACTAGGGCTTGAACTATGAGCCTCGTGCTCTTGCTTGGCTTTTTCACTCATAGCTAGTACTTGGCCATTTTGAGCCACATCTCACCTCTCATCTAGCTATTTGTGCTGGTTAAGTGGACAGCCTCTCAGATTTGTCTGCCTTGCTTCTAACTGTAATCTTCAGATCTTATTCTTCTGAGGAGCTAAAATTATAGGCAGGAGCCACCAGCAGTGGGCTGTACCCTAGGCTCTTGAGTTCTGAGATTATAGGAATATGTCACCATACCCAGCTCTGCTGGTTTTTGATTGTCTCATGTGTGGAATAATGAAGAGAACTGAAACAATGTTTTATATGCAATACTTTCCCTTACATTGTTTAGAACACTTAGAGGAGTATGCTCTTCATGATTAAAATATTTATTCTATCCCTCCCTCCCTCCCTCCCTCCCTCCCTCCCTTCCTTCTTCTCTCCTTCCCTCCTTCCTTTCTTTTTCTTGTCAGTTATGAGGCTTGAAGTCAGGGCCTGGGTACTGTCCTTGAGCTCTTTTGCTCAAGGCTAGCACTCTACCACTTTGAGCCATACACCACTTCCAGTTTTCTGGTGGTTAATTGCAAATGAATCTCATGGACTTTCCTGCCTCAACTGACTTTGAACCGAGATCCTCATATAGATCTCAAGCCTCCTGAGTAGCTAGGATTACAGGCGTAAGCCACCAGCACTCAGCTTTCATTTTTGTTTTAAAGTGCCTTCAGATAAAAGAAAAATAACTTGTAAGTAGTAAGGCTGGGCAAGTGCATACAGATGACAGATGAGAAAGAAAAACATAAATAGCAATGTGCTAAAAAATAGTGCTTTCTATTTATCAGTATTTTCTCATTTAACCTGATTACTTAAGGATAGAGAGTTTCCCCTTTTTTACTGTTCTTGGAAGGAAGACTTGTATGTGATGTAGGGTTTTTGTGTGTTTTGTTTTTTGAGATAATTTCTTGCTACATAGCCCAAGCTGGCCCCTTAATCCTTCATTTTCCTACCTCAGACTCCTGAGTGCTGGGCTTAGGGGCCTTTGCTGCCACAATTGGCTCTCCGGATTTGTTCTTTTTTTGTAGTGATACGTTGCTTATTTTAGTTACTGAGAACTTTTCAAATACTTTCTTCTAGATTTTGGAAATAATCAGGGTTATTTTAAAACTGTATGAGCAGTGGAAGAATTTCGATGAGAAAAAAGAAATGGCTACTATTCTTAGTAAGATGCCGAAACCAAAACCACCTCCAAACAGGTATTTTAAATGATTAGTTAATGGTTTCATTTATTTATTTTATTTCTTAGGTTATGTTGTTTTATATCTTTCCCTACCAAAATGTCATGACTCGTGCATGCTTTTTAAAGTGACTTAATAGATGGAGAATCTCTCACTTTTCTTTCATCAGTTGTGTTGTTCAAGGGGGTTTCATTTGAACATGTCCATTTATGTATACAATGCATTGTGTCACCCTCTTCATCAGAGAACGTTTCAGTTTTTAAAATAAATTAATCTGATCATCTGATTAGCAATATTTCCTAATGGAACGGAGGTCTATTACAGGTATTCCTCAACATACAGCCACATACTGTACATATACTTAAACAGAACTGAGTTAAACAAGTTTATATGAAATTCAAGGATAAAGAGTTCCTTAGTTCTGTACCAGTTTGATTCTGTGCCACACACACCCTGGCTATTCCTCTATTTTATAAATTTCAGTAACAGTTTTCAAAAATTTTAATGAGTAATCTGATATATTATAAAGGACTTTGGCATTTGAGTGACCCACAATATACCATAACAGTTTGCCAAATGTGAATTTCCTATGCTAAGAAGTTTTTATTGTTGTCTTAAGATCTGCTCATTTATTTCAGTGGTTCTCAGCCTTCACTATCACGTCATTTGAGGTAGTGACTAAAGGCAGAGGAAAATAAATGCTATCCATCTTAGTCATCCAGAAAGATAATTGATAGATAGCACTAAGCTAGAATGGTAGATTGCAACTGATTAATGTTACAATTTGGAAGGAAATGATACTTGACTTATACAAGGAGCTGTTCAAGGCAGTCATTCAAACAGCTACCTTTGGATGCGTTTTTTACAGAAATCCCCTGAGTGATTCTCCACTAGTGGCAGGGCCTGGAGCTACAAGATGATGGTGGAGAAGATAAGGCAATAATCCTATTGCCACAGTCACTGGTACTTTCAGCTTTAGGAAATTACCGTGTTTTTCTGATTTAAAGATTTGCTGTAATTACATATGATTTTATTATGCCATTAGACAACAGTTTTGTTTGTATGTTTGCTTTTTTGGAAGAACACTTTTGGTTTCCCTAAATAGTAGAAATAGAATTTTATATGTTAAGATTTAATTTTATAGGAAATTTGTTCAGAAAAAAGGTGTAATCTCTATGTTGAGTGATACCTGTAATAATAATGAAACCCCATACACTAATTTAAACTTTTTGAGTGTAAAATGGACACTAACTTTTAGACTGCTTGTTGTGTGTTAGGGCAAAAAGTTACAGAAGAATAAAAGCATAAAACCAAATGTTAGTTTTCTGTATTTTAATTTTGCTACATTGGTGTCTTATAATCAGGAATATCTTTGTTTTATGATGATGCCACAGAATAATGACCTTCAGAAGATAGTAGGTGTATCAGGGTGTTGAAAAATGAATCTTTTAATTGGTATAAAATCTCTTTCTTCCCCATTTGAACAGTGAAGGAGAGCAGGGTCCAAATGGAACTCAGAACTCTAGCTACAGCCAATCTTAAAACATTCCGAAGAAGTCTAGTGGAGCACTTGGAAATAAACCATTGGACAATTTCAGTAATGTCTTCAGTGGGACACAAATGAAAACGAATAGCTTGCTTCTGTCAAGCATGTTGGGAAGTGATTTTATTTTTGGAAAATAAGTTGTTCTTTACCCAATTTGGTTCTAGTACATCATTGATTAAAATCTCTTGATTAAAACAGTGCAGAAGGGCTGTAAGGGGACCTACAGACAGACATAGACATTACAAAGTTAAGAGCTTTTAATGAGTATATTATTTCTTGATTTTGGATAATAGAACTTTTTTAGCTTTTTATTAAGGCAGGAATCATGAAGCCTAATTTGTTTGAAATCCATTTCGGTCAGTAAGACAAAAAAGGACATTAAAGAAAATCCTATGAGGGTTTTGGTCCTTCCCCTCCCTGACCCCCCCATTTTACTTTAAAATTGTACTTAAGGGGATTCAACGCTTTAAAAATCCTGGAAGATTTTGATAATGATGATGATAATTTCAGGGAAATTAATCAAGTACTTATTGCTTTTAAAATGTTTTATATTCAGTACTTTTAGTATTTTTCCACAGAAGATGCTAACCCAGTCTTGTAGAAAAGTGCAATATGTATAGTATACTCTGACATTTTTAAGGTTAATTCTGCAACCATTTTGAAATGCTGAGCAAAAAAAATTTTTTTAAATCTTACATAAGGTTATTTGGATCGATCACAGTCAACAGGCATTTTGAAAGCCTGCAATAATTAATATAGATTGAATACAAATGTTCATTTTTAATCTACTATAAAAAGGGTTTTTTTTGAGATAGCTATACCCCAGCTTAATTTTTTTATGCCTTCATATGGAGTTAGATTTTTTTTCAGCTATCTTGAACCAGAAAAACAATCAGGTTTTAGGCCAGTTTCTTAATTCTCATATGAGTGTAGCACTAAAGACTAAATGTTACATCAGTAGTACTGTGCTGTCTGTGGAGTTTAGTAAATTAAACATTTTCTTCAGACTTGAAGGAGAGTGATAAATAAAACTTGGGATCATAGGAAATTTATGTACAATTAAGGATTTTTTTTATAAATCAGTTGTGAAAAATGGATTATTAAATTAAGTGTTAATTTCCTAGTATAAAACATCAAGAATAAAAGTGAGATCTCCACTCTATTGGACTAGTGTCTTCAATTCATCCTTTTGAATTTCTCTTTTATTATTTTCTGAGACTTTTTCTTTTTTTCTTTCTTTTTTTTTTTGGTCAGTATTGGGGCTCAAACTCAGGGCCTGGGTGCTGTCCCTGAGCTCTTTTGCTCAAAGCGTGCTCTACCACTTTGAGCCACAGCTCCATTTCCATTTTTCTGGTGGTTAAACTAGAGATAAGTCTCATGGATGTTCTGCCTGGGCTGGCTTTGCACCACGATCCTCAGATCTCAGCCTTCTGAGTAGCTAGGATAATAGATGTGTCACTACTGCCTAGTCTGAGACTCCAGTTAAATTTTAGGTAAAAGTCTTCCACATTTAATCAAAAATAACACCAAAGGTTTTATAAACAAACATTAAAGTTCTGCTTCCTTAGGGCAAATATCAGATGAGCTGGAAAAGAGATTCATAAAATCCGAACCAATGACCAGTATGGTTTCCCCAAGCTTACTGAAGGGTAATAAGAAAACAAACTCTTCTGATCTAAAAGAATTAATGTTGAACTTGGATTAGATGAACAGAGTGATTATCGCAATCAACTGTGATTTTTTTTCTTTAAATTTATGTGTATTTTTTGTTTTGTTTTTCATTAATTATGCCTCAAAACCTCTTTGTGGGAAATTTAAAACGACACACAAGAAGAGTAAAGCAGTGAATGAGCCTCCATGTTACTATCCCCCCCGTTGCAACAATTTCCTCATCGGAACTCCTACCCACTACCTCCATCTTACATACTATTTTGAAGCAAACCCGGATTATCGTGTCATTTCATCCATTAATATTTCAGGATGTACTGAAAGCATATCTCTTTTAAATCTGTAAAAGTGGGGCTGGGAAGGTGGCTCAGTGGTAGAGTGCTTGCCTGGCTATGCATGAGGCCCAGGGTTCAATGCCTCAGCACCACATAAACAGAAAAGGCTGGAAGTGGCACTGTGGATCAAGTGGTAGAGCACTAGCCTTGAACTAAAGAACTCAGGGACAGCGCCCAGGCCTAGAGTTCAAACCCCACGACCAACAGCAAAAAAAAGAAATCTGTAAAAGTAATTGTGCCTAAAAATTTGCACAAAATAATTTGATTATCAAATACTCAAAGTTTGGTTCTCTGATCAGTATAAAAATTGTTGAATAATGGCAGTTAAGATTCAAGTAAGTACTATATCTTTCAATTCATTAGTCCTTAAAGTTTTTCTTATATCATTTAAAATTCCCCTTTGTCTAAGTTTCTCAAGACCTGAACTTTGCTGATTGCATCCTTGATATTCCATTTAAAAATGTTCTTTTGTCTTCTGTATTTTCTGTAAACTGGGATGGGGTGGGGGATGGCATTTATTACTATATAAGGTGGTAGTCTTCCATTAGCAGGTATACAGTAGCTGATTTTTTAAAAATCAGTTATAGGCAACACTCTCCAGTATGATTTATCCACAAGGCACTTATGCCTATTGAACATTTAAGATGTGGCTAGTTTGAATTGAGATGTGCTATAAATGTAAAATATGCATTGAATTTTAAGTATTTAATACAAAAAAAGGTTTGTGAAAATTAGATAACCAGTTTGTAATGATTAATTTTTTAAATGGTAATTAGTTTTGAATGCATAGGATGAAATAAAATATTAAAAATAATTTTTTCTTCTAACTTTTTGAATGTAAGAAGCTTTAAAGTACTGTTATATCCTAAGGAAAATGTTAGATCCTTGTTTCATTCTACCTTGTCATTCCCATTTCCCACTCTTCTGGTTAACTTTAGTCATTTAGCTAAGTATCTAGGATTACAGGCATGAGCCACCAGCACCCAGTTGCAATCATATTTTAAAGATGAGAAAACTTAGGAAGGTTAAGTAACTTATTTATTTATTTATTATTATTAATAAGTTTTTTTTTTTTTTTTTTGGCCCGGTCATGGGGCCTGAACTCTGGGCCTGGGCGCTGTCCCTCAGCTCTTCAGCTCAAGGCTAGCGCTCTACCACTTGAGCCACAGTGCCACTTCCGGCTTTTTTTCTTTTTGCTTATGTGGTGCTGAGGAATCGAACCCAGGGCCTCAGGCATGCAAGGCAAGCACTCTACCACTGAGCCACCTTCCCAGCCCAGTTTTTTTATTGTGAAATACCATACAGAAGGGTTACAATTACATGAGCAAGGTAATGAGTACATTTCTTATCAAGCATTGTTGCCTCCTCCTTTGTTTTTCAGGTTAAGTAATTTATCCAGTCACAGAGAGTGATACAACTTAGATTTGGATTTCTTCAATTCTTTTTCAGTATTAGGTATATCTAATGTAAAACATGTCTTTTGAAGTATACTTGTAAGATATTTTTGTTTTTATTTTTGTATTAGGAATTGGCTTGGTTATAATTTGTTCAATTTGCTTTGTATTTCATGTTCATTTATGCAAGAATCATTAGCAAGCACGATCATTTACACAAGAATCATTACTCAGAATCACCCGTAGGAAAACATTTTTTCCAAATCCTTCATCCTCCAGTCTGGACTGGCTGCCTTCTAAGCCAGGTGGTCTTGCTGCTATTGTAGAAGTGGTCATATTGTGACCTCACTGATTTCTTTTAGGCAGTTATAGAGGAAATCCAAGTCTTAAGTAGCACCTTGTTCTTGTTTGAGAGAATAATGTTAATCTGGTGATATTAAATTAAGGGTTGTTTTAAATTTTTCCTTGTTCTTTTTTTTTTGGTCATGGGGCTTAACCTCAGAGCCCTGGGCCCCAACCCTGAGCTTTTTCACTCATACTGTGATTTCCATATTTCTCGTGGTTAATTGGAGATAACTGAAGGTAATTATGCTAAATGGAGATAATTGGAGAGTCTCACGGACTTTGCTTTCCAAGCTGGCTTCCAACCACTATCTTAGATCTCAGCCTCCTGAGTAGCTAGGATTACAGGCCTGAGCACCTATGCCAGGCTTGTTCCTTGTTTTAACAATTTTTCAAGTGTTTTCCTTCCACATAGTTTTTAAAAAATATTTCATGTTAGATTCTTGCTGTGCTCAGAACCCTTCCTGTTTGAGAGACACAGGGAACGGTAACTGCAAAGTCTGCAGGTTGGGCTCTGTTGTAGAATCAAGGCACAACAAAACGTGGTCACCCTCTCATCTCCAACATCATTTTCTGGCTTTTCTTTGGAATGGGTCCATTTTTTCAGAGAGGAATCTTGTACCTTTTTATCTCAGGCAATATTAGGCAAGCCTTCAGCATTAAGAAACAGGTGAGAGTAACGATGGAGGTATTTTATCCAGTGTTCAGAAGTTCATTTGATCTTGATTTCTGGAAAGGATCTCATTGACATTCTGCCCTCAGATGTCTAGCTAGAAGTTACACCTTCCTTTTTTTTTTTTTTTTTTTTGTCAGTCGGGGGGCTATCCCTCAGCTCTTCAGCTCAAGGTGAGCGCTCTACCGCTTGAGCTACAGCGCCACTTCCGATTTTCTAGTGGTTTATTGGAGATAAGAGTCTCATGGACTTTCCTGCCCAGGCTGGCTTTGAACCATGATCCTCAGATCTCAGCCTCCTGAGTAGCTAGGATTATAGGCATGTGCTACTGGTGCTTGGCTTTATACCCACCCTCCTTTTTAATGTGTATTATTAATCTATATCAAGTGGCCATGAACAAGTACTATATTGTATAGATTCACACGTTAAAAATAATCATAGCAGCATAGTATTGGAGATCGAACAATTACTTAGTTAAGAAGTTGGATACACTTCAAACAGATTCTACCATTAAAATACCTTATTAAAGTCCTCCCCCACAGTTTTTTTTTTCTTTTCTCTTATACTTGCTCCTGGAGAAACTTGTAGCATTGAAATGAAAATTTGCAGCATTATTTTTCCATTAATAAATTGCTAACTTTAGCCTGACACTTTTGGCTCACACCTGAGGATTGCAGTTTGAAGTCATCGCTGGCAGGAAAATGTATGAGACTCTTATCTCCATTAACCACTAAAAAGCCAGAAGTAGAGCTGTGGCTCAGGGACATCATTCAAGCCCCGAGTTCAAGCCCTAGGACCAGCACACATACAAAAAGAAGAGACACAAAAAGCTGAGCTCCAGTGGCTCACGGTTGATATCCAAAGATCAAGGTTTGAAACCAGCCTGGGCAGGAAAGTCCCTGATACTCTACCTCCAGTTAACTACTAAAAAGCTGAAAGTGGGTGGAGCCATGGCTCAAGTGGTAGAAAACTAACCTTGTACAAAGAATCTCAGGGACAAGGCCTACACCCAGGGCCTAGGGGATGTGTGTGAATGGACAGAAGAGACAAAGTGTTATCTGTTGGTGAACTAGTTTGTTTTCTGCCTTTATTTGAGAGTCTTTCAAGGTCTCACATTCTGCTTCACAGACCCTCCTCTAATTGCTGCAGTTATATTACCATGTTTGGTTCAGTTGTCTTTAAGAGTACATTTCTTGACATTTTTCAATGAGATAAACAGTTCACACAGAGTTACAGAAGATCTCCAATGGCCAGTGCAATTTTAGGCAAAAACAAAACAACCAATGCTGCTGGTATCATAATCACAGACCTCAAACTACCACAAAGCAATAACAAAAACAGCTCAATACTGGCACAAAAACAGGCCTGAAGATCAATGGAAGATTTAGAAATAAATACATTTATCTAGAGTTATCTGATATTTGACCAGGAGGTCAAAAAATATATGGTATAAAAAAGCCTCTTCCAATTGGTGTTGGGAAAACTGGCCATTCATATGTAGAAAATTGACATTTAATCCCTGTTTGTCACCATACACTAATATCAACGTGGCTCAAAGACCTTCATGTCCCATCTGAAACTTTGAAGCTACTACAATGTGGAGTAGGAGAAACATTAGGACATTAGAAAAAACCTTTAGACATAGATAGGAACTGTTTGAAGAGTTCCAGAGTTAGAGCAAATAGAGAGTTGACACATGGGATTACTTTAAAATAAAAAGTTTGCATAGCCAAGGACATAGTTACTAAACCAGAAAGTTAGCCAACAGACTGGGAGATGTAGTCATGGTGTTCAGTTCTACACCAGGTGGAAAATGGAGCTTGTGGGCAGTGATGGGAGGTTCTGGGAAGTGGGGAAGGCAAAGGAAAGGGTGACATTCTCCAAAGAATTGTACTCTGTGCCTGACTTAGGAAATGGTATCCCCTTTCTACGACACCTTAATAACAAAATGATGCTTAAAAAATACACTTCTTGGACTAGAGGCCTTGTTCAAGTGGTAGAGTGCCTGCCTGGCAAGTGCAAAGCCCTCAGTTTAAGTCCCAGTACTTCAAATAAACAAGTCCTTTCAGATTAGCTTCTAATCACTGCTCTCACAGCTCATACATATACATAGACAGCCACTTTATCCCAGAATCCAGGAGACCTCATAGAGATTATAAAACTGGTAAGAAGGGGCTGGGAAGGTGGCTCAGTCAGAGAGTGCTTGCCTTGCATGCATGAGGCCCTGGTTCGATTTCTCAGCACCACATAAGCAAAAAGAAAAAAGCCGGAAGTGGCGCTGTGGCTCAAGTGGTAGAGCGTTAGCCTTGAGCTGAAGAGCTGAGGGACAGCGCCCAGGCCCAGAGTTCAGGCCCCATGACTGGACCCTCAAAAAAAAAAAACCTGGTAAGAAAAACGGATGAAGCTGGGCGCTGGTGGCTCACGCCTGTAATCCTAGCTACTTAGGAGGCTGAGATCTGAAGATCGTGGTTCAAAGCCAGCCTGGGCAGGAGAGACCGTGAGACTCCTATCTCCAATAAACCACCAGAAAACCGGAAGTGGCACTGTAGCTCAAGTGGTAGAGTGCTCGCCTTGAGCTGAAGAGCTGAGGGATAGCGCCCAGGCCCAGAGTTCAAGCCCCACGGCCGACCAAAAAAAAAAAAAACGAATGAAACCTGAGGCACTTTAATTTAGGACTTCTACCTCATTGTAAAAATGATGTAAAGAACTGAAAAAAGAACTCTGCTTTTCTCTTAGGTTTCTAAACTTTGACTTACCCCTGTATTATAAAAATAAATATGGTATTCGCTCATGATTGGGATAAAACAACTACTTGTTCAGCCAAATGCAATATTTTTGCACTTGATGCCAGAGAACTTTATGGCTTTGGGAGTTTTGCTGTACTTGTCCATGTAATTTAAGAAATATGATTTGTTAGGCCAGGTGTAGTGGTTCATACTTGTAATCCTCAGTTACTCAGGAGTCAATTATCAGGGGCACCACAATTTGAGGCCAGCTAGGGTAAAAAGTTAATGAGACCTTCCCATCTCACCACAAATAACAAAAGAAAAAGCTGAGTGTGGCTCTGCATGCCTGTCATTCCAGCTACAAGGGAGGCATAAGTAGGATTATGGTCCAGGCTGACAGTAAGAAGCCAAGTCCCTACCTGAAAAGCAAAGCAAAACCAGAAAGGCTTAAGTAGCAAAACACCTGAATAATAAGCCCAAAGCCCTAAGTTTAGAACCTTAGTACTGCCAATGATTTAAACATTTACTTCAGAACAATCAACAACCTTGTCCTCATAAATCAGATCTAATGTAGAAGTTATTCTAGTTTGTTTACTTCAAAGATTTAAGTGTAATTAAGTGTAAATAGAGTACATTGTCCTATTTTTAAAACAAAAAACTGGATCTTACACGGTGGCACATGCCTATAATTCTAGTACTCTGATGGCTGAGGAAAGGAGATCGTAAGTTTGAAGCCATTCTGGATTAGATGAGTTCCTAAGCAGTACAGGCTAGGTAATGAGACTCAAAAAAGTAAAAGTTTACCAAGAATCCAAAAGTACTGTATAATCTTGTTTAAATGTCAAGTGGAACATGCTGTCCTATGTAAAAGATGACACTAGTAATGCATGCTTACCTTTCCCCTCTATCTCTAGTGGGAACCATTCTTAATTTGGTGTTCATTATTTTCATCATGTAATGCCTTTAAATGGATTGTGTGTGCATGTGTGTTCAGTTTTTTAAAGTTCTGGTAGGGAACTTCATCTTCAAGAAGTTAGACGGACATCTGAAGCTCGTGGTGGTCACATTCCCAGATTGCCCAGTGGCTTTCCATCTCATTTAGGATAAGTCAAGTCCTTGAAATTAGTTATTAGGCCCTATATGACCTACATAACTACTATGTGAGCGAGAGTAAAAACAAATAAGAAAGAAAATAGGTTTATTTTGCTCAGCACACTAACACATTAACTATAGGAATTAACATTCTGAAGAAAATTACAATTTTCTATTTTTACTTTCTAAATTGAAGGAATAACAGCATAGAAAACATACATTTTTGTGTTTATTTCAATGAATTTTGATATACTTACCTGTGTACTAGTATTTATTTATTTATTTCTTTTTGTGGGGCCTGAACTCTGGGCCTGGGCACTGTCCCTCAGCTCTTCAGCTCAAGGCTAGCAAGCTACCACTTGAGCCATAGCATCACTTCCGGCTTTTTTTTTCTGCTTATGTGGTGCTGAGGAATCGGACCCAGGGCCTCATGCATGCAAGGCAAATGCTCTACCACTGAGCCACCTTCTCAGCCCACTAGTACTTATTTATAACACAGATCATTTGTACCATCCTAGAAAGTTCTCTTTTTGGCTTTTTCCAGTGAAATCTTCTATCCTCCAAAGATATAGTGTAAGAACCCAGTTTTCTTGTTGACTCCCACTTCTACTTCTGAATCTCTAGCCTCCAGCTATGCCAGTAGAATGCTGTCCGCCAGGTCCTAACCACAGCTGAAGAATATCCTCACCTCTAAAGAGCTTTGAACTTCTGTAAATTAGCTTGCTTGTGAAACTACCACCTGCATGTGGTTCTGGCCTTCTATAAACCCTGCCCCATGGGAGGTCGCTGCTGCTCTTAGTTCTGAGCTATCGCAGGACAAGGCAGTTGCTGACTGGCCAATAAGACTCCTTTGTCACTTTTGACCATTCCTCCATGTATTTCTCAACTCTGAGGTCATTTCATCAGCCCTTGTTTTGATTTCTATCACCAGGTAATCTCTGCCTGTGGGGATTCCAAGTATAAGCCACTCTACCAAGCAATTTTTACTTTAAAATTATGAATTATATCACTTTCATACTGGTCGCCACACTGACAAGCTTTTAGATGATTTTAATATATTCATTGTTCATCAATTTCTCTATCTTGATTTTTTGGATTTTGAACTCAGGCCTCCGTGTTGTCTCTGAGCTTTTGTGCTCAAGGCTAGCACTCTACCACTTATGCCACTTCTGGCTTTTTGGTGGTTAATTGGAGATAAGGGTTTCCTGGATTTCCTGCTTTGGCAAGCTTTGAACCATGATTCTCAGATCTTAGCCTCCTGATTAGCTAGGATTACAGGCATGAGCCACTGGTGCCCAGCACATTCTTTTTTTTTTTTTTTAATATTTTTTTATTGAGATTAAATGGTTACATAAATTTCACAAATTTCCAAGTATTGTGGGATAGTGATACTTAAAGTCACAAACACATTTTTAACCTTCACAAGGCAAATTGTCATTATCTTGGTCTATAAAGCTTGTGAATTCTATAAGCTTTGATTTTTCTTTCTTTTTTTTTTTTTTCTTTTTTTTGTGGGTCATGGGGCTTGACCTCTGGGCCTAGGCGCTGTCCCTGAGCTCTTTAGCTCTAGGCAAGCATTCTGAGCCACAGCACCACTTCCCGTTATTTTCTGGTGGTTAATTCAAGATAAAGAGTCTCAGACTTTCCTGCCTGGGATTGCTTTGAACCGTGATCCTCAGATCTCAGCCTCCTGAGTACTTAGGATTACAGGCATGAGCCACTGGCGGCCGGCTTTGATTTTTCTTTTAATAAAGTTTACTTGTTAATTTGTTATAGTCTGCCTCTGATGAAAAGGAGCACAGAATTAGTCATATGATTAATAGTGACTTGGTCTTAGAGAATGCAAATTCAACGGTACTAAACCACTTAAAAAATTACTCCTACAATCTAACCTTTCATGGTTTCATGGTAAGTCACACACATACTTTATCTCAGTCCTGTGGCCTTTGAACTTTATCAAAGGAGCAGTATCTCAATTTACAGACAAAACAATTCAACAAGCAACTGGCTTACACAGATTGCTCTTATGCTTAACCACTGGCGCCAGGATTTGATTGTTCTTTTGCCTCGATCCTATTTTACACTCCATGTATACAAGGAAAGTCATCTTGTATTCCAAAGTTCAATGTCCTTGTTTCTTCTCTGGAAATTCATAGGTTACCCACTCCTTCCATCCTCCAGCATAGTGTTGGGCACTGAAAACATAAATAGTGCAATCAGTATTTCCTCTCCTGTTTTAAAATAGGGTTGATAGGAATTCTCGAGATAAATAATGCAATATTGCTAGCTACTGATATTATTTAAAGTAGGGGTTTATTTAAAAAATTCAGTTACTTGTGAATAAGATGGAAAGATGTAGGTTCTTAATCTCTCTATTGTGTCTTTATTAACAGTAATTAAACATATTTTTCCTTTTTTTTTCTTTTTGTGGTGGTGGGGATTGAACCTAGAGCCTCTGCATACTAAACCAACACTCCTACTGAACTATATCATCAATGACTAAAGTATCTGTCTAAATGAATGCATACAAAACATTGTGATACACATTCCTGGATCCAGATTTGCCTTCATCTACACACCTGCCGAAGCCTAGAGATATTGCTGTGTCCATAGCCTTTTTGCTTCTCACTCCAGCTAGACAAGAAAACACGATACTGTCAGATTTAGATGGCTTTACTTCATGATACTTCTCTTTGAAATCTCTTGGGTTCATCTCCAGAGCTTGGCCTACTTCACTCACTAAAGGAAAATTTCAAGAGTCTCAATTAAATTTTGGACACAATAAGTTACTGAGTAAATATTTAATGAATGGGTTTAAGGCATGTTACTTACATGGTATATTAATAGACCCAGGGATTTTACCATGTTGTAGAATTTCCCATGTCTCCCTAACATCAATTAACATAATGTTTCCAGAAGTTAACAGGTTTTTTAGTTCCTTGTAAGTGATATGCTTAGGAACAGCAGTACAAACATGGCAGCTTCCTTGTATGGACTTTAAACCTGGGGGTTGGGGGGGAAGAAAAAACAATTTAGTTAGCTTAAAAGTGCCATCATGCCGGGTGGCTCAGGTCTGTAATCCTAGCTACTCAGGAGGCTGAGATCTAAGGATCACAGTTCAAAGTCAGCCAGCCGGGGCAGGAAAAATCCATGAGACTCTTATTTCCAATTCACCACGAGAAAACCGGAAGTGGAACTGTGGCTCTAGTGGTTGAGCACTTGCCTTGAACTGAAGAGCTCAGGGACAGCGCTCAGGCCTAGAGTTCAAGCCCCACGACCGACCAAGAAAAAAGTGCTGGATGCCAGTGGCTCACACATGTCATCCTAGCTACTCAGGAGTCAGGAGGCTGAGATCTAGGAATCATGGTTATAAAGTCCCTGAGACTTTTTTGGGGGGGTCCGGTCGTGGGGCCTGAACTCGGCCTGGGCACTGTCCCTCAGCTCAAGGCTAGCACTCTACCACTTGAGCCACTGTGCCCCTTCCAGCTTTTTTCTTTGCTTTTGTGGTGCTGAGGAATCGAACCCAGGGCCTCATGCATGCAAGGCAAGCACGCTACCACTGAGCCACCTTCCCAGCTCCCTGAGACTCTTGCAACCAATTAACCACTAAAAAGCCCAAGTGGAGCTCTGGCTTAAGTGATAGAACCCTACTCCTGAGAGAAAAAAAAGCTAAAGGGAAGCACCCACACCCTGCAAACCTCAGGACTGGCAAACACAAAAAAAGGAGACAATGTGCTTAGGAAAAAACCATCTTACACTACAGATGAAGGTAAGGAATGGAGGTGGGGGTGGGGCAGGCTATTATCCCGCACCCATGCATCTGTGCCCACAGATAAAAGTTGAGTCTAAAGGAAAAGCAGCATATAAAAAACAAGCAGGAGCCGGGCGCTGGTGGCTCACGCCTGTAATCCTAGCTACTCAGGAGGCTGAGATCTGAGGATCGCGGTTCAAAGCCAGCCCGGGCAGGAGAGACCGTGAGACTCCTATCGCCAATAAACCACCAGAAAACCGGAAGTGGCGCTGTAGCTCAAGTGGTAGAGCGCTCGCCTTGAGCTGAAGAGCTGAGGGACAGCGCCCAGGCCCAGAGTTCAAGCCCCACGACCGACCAAAAAAAAATATAATAAAATAAAAAACAAGCAGGGACTCTAGGCCTGCTCTGGGCTCTAGGCCCAACACCCCCCCCCCCCCCTTTTCCTTTCTCAGCCTCCAGCTTTCCCATGCATAAAACAAGGGAAGACACTAACACCTTATATGATTTGGAGATAATCTGGAGGAGAGGGGGGGGGGAGAGAGAGAGAGGAGAGAACGAGAGAGGGAGAGAGGGAGAGAGAGAGAGAGAGAGGCTCTCTAGCAAGGCTGGGCCTGTCAGCTCCTCCCCAGCAGGGGAGAGAGAGAGAGAGAGAGAGAGAGGCTCTCTAGCAAGGCTGGGCCTGTCAGCTCCTCCCCAGCAGGGGCTGGGCTGGCCTGGCTCTTTTAAGTCTGGAATGGCCTTTCAAGTCTCAAACGAGCACCGAGGTTATTCTAAATGCCTTAGATACCCACCACCAGTGGGCTATTCCTATCTACTTAGAAGGCTGAGATCTGAGGACCGCGGTTCAAAGCCAACCCCAGGCACAAAAGACCGAAAGACTCCTATTTCCAATTCACCAGTCCAAAAAGCAGGACTGGAGGCGTGGCCCCCAAAAATAGCAAACGACTTACACAAGAGCCCCGGTGCGGTGTTTATTTCCTCCCCGCCTGCCATCCCCAAGGATCCCTCCGACAGCCGGGTATCCGGGGCGGGGGGGACCGCGGGAGAGGGCCGCCCGTCTCCCTGCCCCGCGCAGCGTCGGGTCCACGGGAGCCAGGACCCCGTCCTTGCCCTGCGCTCCCCGGGACCCGAGGCGGGGCGCCTCCCCTTTTCCCGGGGCTCAGGCTCACCGCAGAGCGCAGTCACCGCCGTCCGGAGAACCGCAGATCCGAACCCCAGCTGGGGCCGCATGGTCCTGGCCGGTGCTCTCCACGCAAGGACAGGTTGCGGGTCTCGGGTGCTCTTTCCCGGCTCGTCCCCGCTCTTCCGCCGCACTGCCCGCTCCTCCGGGCTCTTGAGCGCCCCCCCAGCCGACGCCGGCCGAACAGGGTACTGCCACTGAAAAAGTCTCTAGTAGGAAAGCTTAAAATCTCGCAGCTTCCAGAACTGGGCAGCACTATCACTAATAACTAAGAATCAGAAGACTGTGTGATCAGGAGAAATTTTTGAGCTCTTTTCCTCACATCCCGAAAGCTTATCACTGTAATGTATTTAAGTGATCAGTAAAATTACTATTTTAACACGGTCATGATTTTTTTTAACCAAATACATTAAATTCTGAAAACTAGTATCAAAATTTCTCCTATATACTTTGCATGGATAAACTACAAAGTTTGCCGTAAGATTGTATTTGTTTTCCTTAATAGAACAATTGGTTCTTCCATGCTGAACAAATTTTGTTCACACAATTAAAACAAAAAACAAAAAATCTTGGAAATCATTTGGAAAGAAAGTAAGAGTTACGCTTGTTCTCCTTTTCCTTTCTTCTTTTTGAGCCAGTTATGAGGCTTGAACTCAGGTCCGAGGTCCTGTCCCCTTTTTCTTGTTGTTGTTCAAGGCTAATGCTCTACCAGTTGAGCCAAAGCTCCACTTCCAGCTTTTTGATGTTTATTGGAGAGAAGACTCTCACAGATTTTCCTGCCTGGGCTGGCTTTGAACTAAGATCCCCAGGTCTCAGCCTCCTGAGTAGCTAAAATTACAGGCATGAGCCACCAGAGTCCTGCCTTCTTTTCTTTTTTTGCTTTTGCTTTTTTTTGTTTCGTTTTTAGTGAAAGGAGTTTAACTCCTCTGTATATCACCTTTATAATAACAATAAAATTTAAAAAATGAAAAATAGAAAAAAAGCTTAAAAGGAAGTTTTAAAGTGTAAAGTACAAAACATGAGGATGCTATGATTTAGCAGTTAAATTAATTTCAGTAGATAACATGATTATGATACGTTGGCTCAGTTTAAAGCAGAACATATGGACATTTATTTTTATTTACTTTTTTGTCGGTCATGAACCTTGACCTCAGGGCCTGGCCATTGAGTTTTTCTGCTCAGGGCTAGAGATCTACCACTTTGGGGCACAGCTCCACTTGTGGTTTTGTAGTCTTGAACTGGAGATGAGTCTCATGGACTTTCCTGCCCCAGCTAGCTTTGAGCCACGAGTACTGAGTAGCTAAGATTACAAGCACGAGCCACTGTCCCTGAGCTGCATTCATTCTTGCTTTCTAAAAATTCAGTGTGAACAAACAGCAACCCCCATTACCAAGCTTGTACATGGGGGCTGGGGGGAGATGGAGTGCTGGTGTCCTTGAGCATCTAATGCCGTGCTCAGTCCACCTGACAGTTGCGGACACGAGGAGACTTGAGGGCCTATGAACCAGGGGGCCGTTTGCAAAGTCAGTCGGCAGACTTCGTTCATAGCAACTGTTTTGACTCTGCACGCGTAGCCCCTCCCACAGGTCATCGGACTCTGAAGCAGCACAGGTGTGAGTCCACCCAGGCACTGCCTCGCTAGGGAGGGAGAACCAGAAAAAGGAACAGATACTGTGTGTAAGAGGTGATCACGTCCGGGGCGGGCGATGGAGACCTCGGAGCGGTGCAAAGGCAGCAAGCGGGGGAAACAGGGCTGCGGGGATCGGGGGGGGGGGGGGGCTGTTTATTCAAAGAGCCGCTGGGACACCCGGCCCCGCCCCACCTTGCCCTTCCCGGTGACCTTGTCCTCCCGACTCCGGACCTCCGGACACTCCATCATTCCCCCCCCCTCCCGCCCCCCCAGCCTTCCCTGCGCGGCGCCCGCGGCCCCGAACCCGCCCGGGACGCCAGGCCCCGCCCTCCGCGGGCGCGCTCCCGGCCGCGCACGCGCACTGGCGGCTGGTCGTGGACGCGGCGGCCCGGCGGGCGGGGTGAGTCTGGGCGGCGGCCGTGGGGTCCCCGCGGGGGGCCGGTGGCCGCCGCTCTTCGGTGACCCAAGCCCCCTCTGCGGGAGAACGGGCCTGGACGGGAGGTTTTCCCACAGCCCTGGCCCGTCCGATCCCGCGGGGCTGCGGGCCGCGTGGGCGCCGCCGGGCCCGCCGGGGGGGGGGGGGGTGCGGGCGGCGGCCGGGAGCCGGGCGGAGGGGCCCCGGGGGCCCGCACCGCGGTGACCCCCCACCCCGCCGCCTCAGCTCGGCCCAGTTCCTCGTGGGTAACTCGGGGTGCGTTTGTTAGTGGGCGGAGGAAGCGGGGCTCACCTTGGCTTCCTGGCAGCATGGCTTATTTTAGGGGCTCCGGAGCCTGGGTCGGTTGTGTCCCATCCACCATCTACTGGCTCCCCGGCTTCTGCAAGCCCCGCAGCCTGAGTCAGGTGTAAAATGAGACGAGCGTAGCCGCAATCCGATCCGGGGCCTTGCGCCTGTAGTCCGAGATACTCGGGAGCTAGAGAATTGAAGGATCCCAGTTCGAAGCCCGCCTGGGTAGGAAAGTCCCTGAGACTTTCCTCCAGTAAACTACAGAAACGCCAGCAGTGGAGCTGTGGCTAAAGTGGTGGAGCACCAGCCTTGGCCCCAAAATGCTCAGAAATAGTGTTCAGGCCCTGAATTCAAGCCCCAGGAGGGCACAAATAAAAAGTAGCTCTGGGGATTGAGTGAATTAATACTCACCAGCACTCAGAGATAAGCATGGTACACAGCAAAACTCTTAAGTGCTTTTTATCATTTTGAATCTGGGTACCTGGAGAAGCTTGTCCCCCCTCTCCCCATTTTCCCCCTGATCCTGGGGGAAATAGTTAAAAGAAAAAAATATATATAGGGCTAGGAATGTGGCCTAGTGGTAGAGTGCTTGTCTAAGTATGCAAGAAGCCCTGGGTTCTGTTCCTCAGTACCACATACACAGAAAAAGCCAGAAGTGGTGCTGTGGCTCAAGTGGTAGAGTGCTAGCCTTCAGCAAAAGAAGGGACAGTGCCCAGGCACTGAGTTTAAGCCCCATACATAACATATTATGTATATATATATATGCAAATATGGGCTTTTTGTTCGTGTAGTCTGTTGACAACCACAACTTTTCAAGTAAGTTAGAGCAAAGACCAGGCCTAGATAATGCTGATGTCAAAAACTGTAAAGTTCCAAGTTTGGAAAAACCATTGAGGAAATAGCCAACATATTTGTGCAGAAAAGAGTTAATAAAGCAAGCCTGAGTGCCATCCTTTGAAAGGCGTGCTTTCAAGGTTGGCCACTGTTTGTTGTATGAGGAACTTAGATTTTGGGAGTGTGCCTACCTAAGAGAATTTGTTTTATGCTGAATACTATGTTTATGCTGAAATTATCAGCTTCCCTAAAACTCCTAGGCTCCAACTCTGCCAGGTTTCCCCAGGCAGAATTACTTACGTGTATTGCTGTATATTCCTTGTTGGAGAGAGAGTTGGAAGGAGTCTTGGAGATTGCTAAATTCAATTTGAAAGAGAAAGTATTTGGAGTTCTAATAACAATTTTTTTTTTGCACTAAATGGAAATTAGAAAAGCAACAGTATAGATTGTTACTGTGGGTTATTGTGGCAAAATAATTGTGTTTAGTTATTACCATACAGGTGTTCAAGAATTGCTTTTCTCTGCCAAGATAATTTTGAGTGAATCATTTTTTGCCAAAGTTATGGTTATCTACTGATTCTAAGTCATAGACCTGGTTCTGTGCATTATTTTGACAGTACATGAGGAGGGTATGCACTTAGGGAGAAGGTACTTCAATATTAAGTGATTAAAGGATCAGACTATGTATAAAGTAACCTGTAATAAAATCCTTAGCCTTATATACAGAGTAAGTCCTTAACCTGTAACCCTGAAGAAAGCCTTTAATTTGTTGCAATCTAATTCAAGAGTGATGTTTTTAGGTTTAAAAGAAGATGGTAGCAAAGTGGTAGAGGTGGAGGGTATGCTTAGCGTGTGTGAGCACTGGGTTCAAGCCCCAGCAGCACCCCCTTTCATCAAAAATAAATCTCTAGCTGGGTGCCAGTGGCTGACGCCTATAATCCTAGCTACTCAACAGGCTGAGATCTGAGGATTGCAGTTCAAAGCCAGCCCGGGCAGGAAAGTCTGTGAAACTCTTATCTACAATAAACCACCAGGAAACCGAACTGGCGCTGTAGCTCAAGTGGTAGAGCACTAGCCTTGAGCTGAAGAGCTGAGGGACAGTGCTCAGGGCCAGAGTTCAGGCCCCATGACCGACAAAAAATAAATAAATAAATAAAAATAAATCTCTTATTTGAGATGTGGAACAACTAAATCCAAATTTAAGACTTTATATTGGAATAAATGAGTCATTACTTTGATCATTAAAAAGTAAACCATCATAGCTGGTGCCAGTGGCTCACACCTGTAATCCTAGCTACTCAGGAGGCTGAGGTCTGAGGATCGCAGTTCAAAGCCAGCCACGGCAGGAAAGTCTGCGACTCTTTTCTCCAATTAACCACCAGAAAACTGGAAGTGGTGCTGTGGCTCAAGTGGTAAAGCGCTAGCCTTGAGCTAAATTGCTGAAAGACAGCACCCAGGCCCAGAGTTCAAGCCCCACGACTCATACACACACACAAAGTAAATCATCATAGAGCTGTGTGTTGATGGCTCATGCCTATAAAACTAGCTGCTTAGGAGGCAGAGATCTGAAGATGTCAGTTCAAAACCCACCTGGGTTGTAAAGTCTGTGAGTCTCTTATTTCCAATTAACCACCCAAAAAGTCAGAAGTTGAGCTGGGGTAGAGCACTAGCCTTGAGCAAAATGAAGTTCAGGGACAGCACCCAGGCCCTGAGTTCAAGTCCCAGGATCAGCATGCGCGCGTGCGCGCGCGCACACACACACACGTAAACATCAAATTTGTAAAATATTACGTTTTATATCTGTAATCCCTGCTACCTGGAGGCAGATGATTGAAGTTAGAAGCCCATCTGAGTCAAAAGTTATTGAGATCAATATTGGTGGTTCACGTCTCAGGCTGAGATCTGAGAATTGCTATTTGAAGCCAGCCAAAGCAGGAAAGTCAGTGAGACTTTTTTTTGTGTGTGTGGGGGGGGGAGTCCAGTCGTGGGGCCTGAACTCTGGGCCTGAGCGCTGTCCCTCAGCTCTTCAGCTCAAGGCTAGTGCTCTACCACTTGAGCCACAGCGCCACTTCGGCTTTTTTCTTTTTGCTTATGTGGTGCTGAGGAATCGAACCCAGGGCCTCATGCATGCAAGGCAAGCGCTCTACCACTGAGCCACCTTCCCAGCCCCTCAGTGAGACTTTTATCTTCAGTTAACCATCAAAAAAGCTAGAAGTGAAGTTGTTGCTGAAGTAGTGAGCTAGCTTTGAGCAAAAAAGCTGAAGAATAGAATCTAGGCCCTGAAATCAAGCCCCAAGAACAGCATACCGACAAAAAAGTTAATGAAAGCTCTCAACTCAACAGAAAAGCTGGGCATGGTGGTACATGCCTGTCATCACATCTACCTGTGAAGTATAGGTGGAAGGATCACAGACCAAGTCAGCCTGGGAAAAAAATTTAAGACTGTGTCTGAAAAATAATTGGGAAAAGAGCTTGGGAGTGGGGCATCTGCCTGGCATGTTCAAGGACCTGAGTTCAAACTCCTGTACTGGTAAAAAAAAAAGATTTTTCGACCTAGGCTAGGTCAAATGTAATAATGTGCTCACATATAAATAAAACAAATAAAATGCAGGGCTGGGAAGGCAGCAGACTTGGTGTTCAGTGGGGGCAACGCAGACCCCAATTAAACAGGACATTTATGTGTCCTTCCATAGATAAAAGGTTCGCTCTCTGGTCTCTTATAAGGGCACAATATGAGGGTAGAGTCCTCATGAGGTAATTAACCCTCCAAAGATTTCATCTCCAGGACTTGGGATTATCTTTCAATATGTGAATTGAGGAGAGGGTGCTAGACATCTATTTAGTCCATAATAAGGTGGCTAGTTAGAGTCAAATGGAATGTTCCTTTTGAATATAGAGCTACACACACCTCCAGTCCTATATATTGACCTTCTTTTCATTAGCATAAATTAGTTATACAGGGAGAGAGATTTCATTGTTTACTGATTTTGAGAACCATCAAAAAGCTGGTCTTGCTATCATTTTTCTATGTTGTTTTGATATACATATATTTAAGAAAGTCCATAAAATCTTACTTTTGAAGCTTAAAGTGTATTTATTATATTTTTCTTCTACTTTTTTTTTCTTAGTAAATAACAGATGCGGGTAAAAGATCCATCCACAGATTTACCTGAAAAAGGCAAAAGAAATAAAAGACCTTCAATCCCTCATGATGAAGATTCTTCAGATGATATTACTGGTAAGCTGTGGATTTCTGGCCTCCAAATGTTTCCAGCTCCTAAATTGAAGGTGTTGCACAATTTAATCTCAGCAACTGGGGATTTGAGTCAGTTGAAGCCTGCCTAATGTACATTAGGCCCTTAAACCTTTTCAGTTTTAGTTCACTTATCTGTAAACCCATTAACAGTTTCACATTTAAAAGTCTGAATAGCTAGGCACTGATCTCTTACATCTGTATCCTAGCTCTTCAAGTGCCAAAGATATAAGAATCATGGTTCAAAGCCAGCCTGGGCAAGAAAATCTGTATAAGAAAATCTTATATCCAATTAACCACCAAAAAGCCTAGAAGTGGAACTGTGGCTCAAGGGGTAGAGTGCTAGCCTTGAGAGCAAAAGTTCAGGGACAGCCCCCAGACCCAGGAATGGAGCATGAATAATAGAATCAGAGAATGTTTTAGTTGTACTTTGGCCAGAGCCAAACACAGAGATTATATAGAAGACATCTAAATGATTTTTTCTTTAGGATTTTAAAATGTAAAATTCAGACAAAACATTTGTCGAACCATTTCTAGATCCTGTACTTGCTGATACAGGACTTTCCCTGAGCAGTCTTTTCTTTTTTCTTTTTTGTCAGTCATGGGGCTTGAACTCTGGGCTTGGGTGCTATCCCTGCGCTCTTCAGCTCAAGGCGAGTGCTCTACTACTTAAGCTACAGCGCCACTTCCGGTTTTCTAGTGGTTTATTGGAAATGAGAGTCTCACGGACTTTTCTGCCCGGGCTGGCTTTGAACTGTGATCCTCAGATCTCAGCCTCCTGAGTGGCTAGGATTACAAGCGTGAGCCACTGGCACCCGGCTTGAGCAGTCTTTTCTTTAGTGGTGTGGTCTTGCTTTTGAAACATACTTAAGAATTTAGACTTTAGGATTTCTCTTTTTATGTCTGTTTTTGTTGTTGTTTTGTTTTGGTGGGTCGTGGGGCTTGAACTCTGGGCCTGAGCGCTGTCCCTCAGCTCTTTAGCTCAAGCCTAGCGCTCTACCTTTGAGCTACAGTTCCACTTCCAGTTTTCTGGTTGTTTATTGGAATAAGAGTTTCACAGACTTTCCTGCCCTGGCTGGCTTTGAACTGTGATCCTCAGATCTCAGCCTCCTGAGTAGCTACGATTACAGGTGTGAGCCACCAGCGCCTGGCTATGTCTGTTTTTATAACTTTCTCTTAGTGTAAAATTAAGAGTCTTACTATTTAATTCAAATTTAAATATTTAATTATTATAAATACCTTTAAAGATTTGCATTCTTACTGTTCAGGAGGAAGAATTAAGGCGTGGTTAGCTTACCTCTTGTTAGTTGATTAGTAGATAAAAGGAAATTCCTTACATTTGGAAAGCAAGATAGGCATAGGTGAAATGTACACCATCTTATTTTCCTTTTGGAGTTACTCTTTCCATTGCTATTTGACTTTGGTAGATGTAGTTTTGATATGTGGGATATCTGAAGCAGAGAAATTAAGGTGTCCAGGTATTTGGGAAAAATGAAGGCATAACTGATCTTGGGAAGAGAAATAGTTATTTGAAGACTTAAAGATATATTTTTAGGGTCATGTTAGCAATTTGTCTCCACACAGTGCACACAGTGGCAAGGCAAAATAATTTGTCATTTGGGAATATTCATAAAAGAGAAATTTTCTTCTGATGTGCTATGACAAAAATAGCAAAGTTAGCTTATGTAAAAGATTTTATATGTATCTTGCTCTCTTTTCTTTTTTCTTTCTATTTTTTTTTTATGTTGGGCCTTGGTCTCACAGCTTCACACAAGTTCTGTATCTGCACCACACTGGGCTATAGCCTCACCAGCCTGTGCTATTTTAGTAGACTTAAAATACCTTTAAAGGACTTGACACATACTGGCTGTTCAATAAATAACATACTGGCTGTTCAATAAATATTTGAACCTCTTAATTTTGTTTATTGTTTATTATTTGTAACTAATTTAGATTCACAACAAAGCACACAGAGATATACTCACCCAGCCTTCCCTGGTACTAAATCTTACCTGACTGCAGTATATTTAATGGTATAATCCTTAGCTTATTCAGATTCACACACACTTGTGTGTGTGTGTGAGTGTGTGTGTATGTGTATGTATGTGTGCCATTTGATGACCTGTGTGGTCTTATATACTTCACAGAACTTGCATATACTATCACCTCCCTGCATGGTACCCATTTCCCATTGATAGCTTCTAGGAACCACTAATCCAGTCATTAGTTCTTTCATTCTGTTATATAAATGGATTCATATTTAGGTATCATTTTGAGTTAGTTTATTTTTGAATCATGATGCTTTTTTGAAGTTTAAAGTATTTAATGCTCTTATTAACTAAAGCTTTTCATTTTGTTTCATCTTAATTAGTAGCCTTAACTTGCCAACACGTAAGTCACGCTGTCAGTGTGAATCATGTGAAGAAAGCAATAGCCGAGAACCTATGGTCAGTTTGCTCAGAATGTTTAAGAGAAAGAAGATTCTGTGATGGACAGCCAGTACTTCCTTCTGATGTTTGGCTGTGTCTCAAGTGTGGTTATCAGGTAAGAAAATGTTGTATGTACATTTTTTAAAAAATGCTTTCTGTGAATTGGACTTTTAGTCATACTTAGATCTTAAAATAATAAGAAATTGTAAATAAAATTTAAAATAATCTTAAAATAAGTATATTTCTTATTTAGATGGTAAGTTTATAAGAATATATACCTTTTTTGGGGGGGGGGGGGTTCCGGTCGTGGGGCCTGAACTCTGGGCCTGAGCGCTGCCCCTCAGCTCTTCAGCTCAAGGCTAGCACTCTACCACTTGAGCCACAGTGCCACTTCTGGCTTTTTTTTTTTTTGCTTATATGGTGCTGAGGAATGGAACCCAGGGCCTCAGGCATGCAAAGCAAGCGCTCTACCACTGAGCCACCTTCCCAGCCCCTACCTTTTTTTTTTTTTTAAAGCCAGTCCTGCGGCTTGAACCCAGAGCTCAAGCTTTTTTTGCTTAAGGGTAGTGCTCTACTGCTTGAGTCACAGTGCCACTTCCAGCTTTTTCTGAATAGTTGGTTGGAGATAAGAGTCTCATGGCCTTTCCTGCCTGGGCTGGCTTCAAACCGTGATTCTCAGGTCTCAGCTTCCTGAGTAACTAGGATTAGAGGAGTGAGCCATTAGCACCCAGCAAAAAAAAAAAAAAGAATCTATCTTATCTAATATAGAAAGTCCAGAAGTAGAGACACTTTAGACTTAGTTAATTAAAGAGAAAGATCAGTAAAACTTTGCTATTTTAGCCTGGTGTCACTGGTTTATCTCTGTAATCCTAACTATTCAGGAAGCTAATACCTAGAGACTCTCAGTTTAAAGCCAGCCTGGGCAGCAAAATTTGAGAGACTCTCTAGTTAATTAGCAAAATGTCAGTCTAAAAATGTGGCCCAGGTGGTAGAGTGCCAGTCACAATTTAAAAAAAAAGCTGAGTCAAGTGAGATCATGAGACCCTGAGTTCAGACCTTGGTACCAGACCAACAACAAAGGCAAAACTGAGATTTCTTTCATTTTTTTTGTGTCATCCCAACTTTATGGCTTCAGGATGACTGAAGATAATTTGGACATTATGCTTCCTGTTACAATCTCCAGAGATCATCAAGAGGAGGAAAGAGTACATCTTTAAAAAAAAAAAAATGTAAACCTTTCTTGGGAATATCCATTAGACTTTACTTCTTCCTCTCACATCATGCTCATTAGAATTGACTGGGTTCATTTCCTGCTGTATCTAGTGAGGGAAATTACTTGTATTAGTTCTCAGTGAGGTTGGGGTGGAGGTGAGTCCAGGACTGGGAAATGTATGTTTGGAGCAGGGGTCCTACTGGCCTGCCAGGATCTTTAGTGTTCAACAGTGTGCAAGACAGAAGATGTAGTAGGCCTTTCTAAATGTTCGGAAAATTAACTTTGCTTATGATTGTTTTAGTTAAATACTATAGAATAAAAAAGGAAGTTAACCTCTGCCAAAAAATTTAAGTTGAATAAGAATCTGTATGTTTTCTGAAACTATTCTTTCCTGCTGAAATTAAAGACAAAACCTTTTCAGTATGTTTGAGTCAATTTAAGTTTTGGTTAATTTGAAACAAGCTTGGATGTACATCATGCATCTGTCATCTGTTCATCTTCAGGGATGTGGTAAAAACTCAGAAGGCCAGCATTCACTGAAGCACTTCCGGAGTTGCAGAACAGATTCTCATTGTATTACAGTTAGTCTGAGTACATGGATTATATGGTAAGTTAAATTCATTAGTACTTGTGTCCACTCAAACAAACAAACAAACAAACTAAAGTCTTTCTCTTTTTCTTTGAACTTTATAAGGTAAACTAAAGATATTTTATCAGTTTATATTTTTTTTCTTTTGTTCTGTGACTTAGAGCCTGGGCACTGTCACTGAGCTTTTGTGCTCAAGGCTAGCATTCTATCACTTGAGCCACAGCTCCATTTATGGCTTTTTTTCCTGGTTAATTGGAGATAAGAGTTTCACTGACTTTTCTGCCTGGGTTGGCTTTGAACTGTGATTCTCACATCTTGGCTTCCTGAGCAGCTAGGATTACAGAGAGCCACTGGTGCCTAGCACGTCTCTTTTATCTTTTGTGCTAGTACTAGGGCTTGAACTCAGAGCCTCACACTCTTGCTTAGCTTTTTCACTCAAGGCTGACACTCTGCTACTGAAGCCATACCTCCACTTGCAGCTTTTTTGTGGTTAATTGGAGATATCAGTCTCTCCAATTTGTCTGCCTATCCTTGTGGTGAACCTCAATCCTCATATCTCAGCCTCTTGATTAGTGAGGATTGCAGGAGTGAGCCACTGGCACCAAGATATTTTGTCTATAGTTAATATACTTTATTTTGCTTTTATATTTACATAGAGTTAGAAAGATGATTAATTTACTACTTTTTATATGTATGTTAGATTTATAGTAAAATGAAAATGATTAAAATCATTTTTGTGGGCTTGTAGAATTATTTTCCTATAACAAGAAGCTATATAAGCTTGTCAAATGTTTTTATAGGAATTTAACTGCTGTGCAGTTTTTTTTTCTTCCTGATTGTGAAACAACAACAACAATATAAGAAACAATTTCAGTACAAAACTTCATTAATTTAGGTTCAGTGGAAAGCCAGGTTAAAGTAGAGAGACCTGAACTGTATAAAAAGGAAGGTGAATCACAGATTTGGTTATTTAATTGGGGCAATAAAGAGGTACTTACAGTGGTTGCAAGACTGCTTTGAGCATCGGTTCTTATGTCTGACTTCATGTCAGAGTCACACAGGAGTATTTAATACATCCATAGCTGCTACCAGTCCTCTCTTAAACCATACCTATTCAATCAGGGCTACTGTATTTCTTCCTGTTGGTCATGCTGAAACCTAAACAGAGTTCAATCATGCTTTAAACTTAAAGTTAACCTGTTGATGAATTTTTCTAAGTACTCAAAGTTGTCTGTTGAAGATTCATTTTTCCTATACTTCTACTAAAGTACTGATTTATGAGCCCTCCTGTAGAAAGAACATATACTCTATGAAGATACACTTAAAATAATTAGATCGTGTAAGCACTTTGTATAGTGCCTGTTGTATACCAAAAACTCAATTTAAATTATTTTGTTGTTTTGAGTCGGCATCCACCACATTGTTATTTTGAACTGTCTTTTTTTAACTCTAAATTCTCTGCAATGATCCTGATTTTTATTTACTTGCTCTTTTTGTTATATAAAAGTTAAAACAGTGGATTATGTAGCAAATCAACTATATTAGCAAACATTTCTTGACATCTCAGTATTTTGTAAATCAACAATTATTTTATATTCTTACTATTTTTGTCACAAGTCAAGTGAGTTAAATATTGAACATCTAATATGGTGAAAGCCTGACAATTGCACCTAAATTGTTTGAATTCCAACTTGGTCTGTTGAGAAAAAATGTTTTTGGTAATGTTTTCTGTATCACATCTCCAAAGCAGAGGGAGATTGTATTGAGCAGGTTAAGTATTTAAATGCATTTTGAATGCCATTTTGAAAATGAATCCAAGTCTACTTTATAGCCATTAATAATCTCTGGATCACTAGTAGTTACAGTGAGGAAGACTGACCACATGAGACAGCTCTTCTGCTCAAGGCGAGTACTCCTGGTTTTCTGGTAGTTAATTGGAGAGAAGAGTCTCACAGATTTTCCTGCCTGCCTGGTTTTGAACTGTGATCCTCAGCCTCCTGAGTAGCTACAATTATAGGCATGAGCCACCAATGCCTGGCCAAATAAATATTTTTATATGACCATTAGATCCCATGATGATAAAGGAAGTAGGGGTAATATAGAAAAGATACATCTTAATACTAAAACCACAAATAAAACTTAATTACAAGTAAAAATACTTTACCTAACTGTCTACAGATCAGCTCCAAACAAGATAAAAAAGCTTTGTCTTTGTCTATTGCTGAATAATCAAGCTACAAGCCTACAGATATTTTGGCCTTTCTTTCTTTTTTCTTTTTTTTTTTCTTTTTTGGATCCAGTTGTGGGGCCTGAACTCTGGGCCTGGGCGCTGTCCCTCAGCTCTTCAGCTCAAGGCTAGCGCTCTACCACTTGAGCCATAGCGCCACTTCCAGCTTTTTTCTTTTTGCTTACGTGGTGCTGAGGAATCGAACCCAGGGCCTCATGCATGCAAGGCAAGCGCTCTACCACTGAGCCACCTTCCCAGCCCGCCTTTCTTTCTTTTCTTTCTTTCTTTCTTTCTTTCTTTCTTTCTTTCTTTCTTTCTTTCTTTCTTTCTTTCTTTCTTTCTTTCTTTCTTTCTTTCTCTCTCTTCTTTCTCTCTTTCTTTCTTTCTTCCTTTCTTTCTTCCTCTCTTTCTTCCTTTCTTTCTTCCTTTCTTCCTTTATCTCATTTTAATTGCTAGCCTTCTAACAGAAGTAGACAAAATAGTATAATGTGGGGCTGGAAAGTGGCTCAGTGGTAGAGTGTTTGTTTTATATGCACGAGGCCCCGGGTTCAATTCCTTAGCACCATATAAACAGAAAAGGCCGGAAGTCGAGCTGTAGCTCAAGTGGTAGAACACTAGCCTTGAGCTGAAGAGCTGAGGGACAGTGCCCAAGCCCAGAGTTCAAGCCCCACAACTGACAATAACAATAATAATAATAACAATAACAATAATGTGTTCCTGTATCCCTATTACCAGTTAATTTAAACATTATCAACTAACAGCTAGTCTTGTTTTATATTCACCAAGGTTTCTTCATCTTAGCACCATTGACTTTATAGGACAGTTAGCAGCTTCTCTGGCCTCTACTGCCAGAAACAGCCAGGAAGTAAACAAAACATGCCTGAGTATTGGGTTACTGTCCTCTGGGAAACAGTTAGTCCATACTTCAATTCACTAATATGTGCTACCCTACTACTCTCTTCTCGTGGCAGTTATTTTGACTCTTTGGTCTCCCTCATCTTTCATATTGAATGTAAAGCTGTTTCTGCCTGGACATAGATAATCAGTATGTCTCCTTTGCTCCAGATTCATGCCGCTGTACTGCTCTGCTTCTATTCCTGATGTCCTCCAATCTAGTTTATCACATAGTCAGAGTGATGTTTTTAAAATATAAATTGGGCCATACTCCTGCCCTGCTTAAAAACCCCTCATGGCATTCCATTTCATTCGAGGTAAACTGCAGAACCTTTCATTTAAAGTAGAAGGCTTTGTATGAACTCTTCTAGCTTATTTCTCTGGGTTTAGCTAATGCCTTCCACATTGTGTTCTCTGCTAATTTCCTTATAAGACAAAAGAGTACATTTCAGAATGTGCCAAAAGAAGAGAGGCAAAAAGTGTTTGTATATCAACTTTGTTACCTGATATGCAAACTTACTGGAAGTATAGTCATAATATTTGCTTAAAGTTTATATTTATATTTTTTCAGGTGTTACGAATGTGATGAAAAATTATCAACACATTGTAATAAGAAGGTTTTGGCTCAGATTGTTGATTTTCTCCAGAAACATTTTTCTAAAACACAAACAAGTAAGTGAAGCAGTTAAAAGAATTCATATTAAAATATGAGATTTCATACTTTGTATAAAACAAATTGTGGAGTGCCCTAGATTTCACTGTGATATCGCAGTCTATAATTTGAACAAGGATGTAATATCACAAAGCCTTAGCTAGCAGTCTCATAATATTGCTCTGTGAGATGTTTACCTAACAATAGGAGAAGTAGAAGTATTGAGTGACTGTGTCATGGGCTTTTAAACCAGACAGTCCTGAATTTGTACTTAGGTTTTCTTACTTATTGGCTGTGGGACATTTTGATTATTATGTGATCATATTGTGAGGCTTAGAAATAATATTTTGAAAATATTTAGAAATAATGTGTGTAAAAATACTTGCATTCAGCTTGTGACACATTTCTGTTGCTAGTATCTGTTGCTGTTTGTTACATAATCATAGTTCAGATTCTAACTCCTAGATGTAGCCAGACTGCCCTGCTAAAGGCTCAAGTTGCCCACAAGACTGCTCTCACATCAGGCAGCAGCCAAAAGCTCAAGCATGTCTAGGCCCCTGGCTACAAATTTGGACCATTCCTACCCTCTTCAGATTTGCTAATTTGCTAGAATAATTTAGGAATTCAGGCAAGGGATATACTTCACAATTATAATTTTCTGGTAACACAGAAGAATATACTTCACAATACATCAAGAGAAATACGGGGCAAGATCTGCCAGGTACGAGACTTCTGGGTCCATTCCACAGGGAGTGAGGCTACCACCTCTCATCCTTACACCCATACCCGTCCTCATATCCATACCCACAGGGGTGTGTAGCAGTCTGTGTAGGGAAGCTCTTAGTGTTCCAAACTTTTACTGAGGTTTCATTAGTGGGCTTGATGGATTGAATCATTGGCTACTTTGATTTCTGTTACCTTGACCATCTAGTCACATGGTTTGTCTTTCCAGCATGGACAGCCCCTGTCCTGAGTTGTATCTCTATCTCCCCCCTTCCCCCTGTGTATTTCAACTCAGGTCTTCATGTGTACTAATGTACTAGTTAATGACTCTCTGCCACGTGAGCAACAACCCTACCCCTGTTTTGCTTTAGTTATTTTTTGGATAAGGTTTGTAGGGCTTAAGGGCTGGCATCTAACTGACAACTACTGATCTTAAATCCCAAACCTCCCAAGTAGCTGAGATTGTAGGTATGAGCTACCATGTCTGATCTGAGTCAGCTCCTTAGTAGAACCTTCTAGTGATCTTCCATATTACCATTATGAATGACACTATGAATTACAAACCCACTATGAAAAGACCCATATGAATGACAAAACCTTCCTGATTCTCTGGAAACTGCAAAATTTTAGAGACTACTTATCAGGAAACTGGATCAAAAGCCAGCCCAAACCTTTATAACATGACAATAATGCATTATATATTCCATGTTGAGGGATTGGAGGTATGGCTCAGTTCGTAGAGTGCCAGCCAGTGAGCAAAAGCATCAAGTATCAAGTTTGAGTCCTGGTCTTGGACTTAAAAAAAAAAAGAATATTGTATATTAATATGTATAGACTGTTACCTAACATGAGAAATATATGGTATATATTAATATAAATTAAAAGTATATAGGGTGGGGCTGGGAAGGTGGCTCAGTGGTAGAGTGCTTGCCTTGCATGCATGAGGTGCCCTGGGTTCAATTCCTCAGCACCACATAAGCGGAACAAGCTAGAAGTGGTGGTGTGGCTCAAGTAGTAGAGTGCTAGCCTTGAACTGAGCTGAGAGACAGTGCCTCAGGCCCAGAGTTCAGGCCTCCTGACCGACCAAAAAAAAAAAAAAAGTATATAGGGTACCAGTTTCTTCATCCAAATATAGAAAGTGCTAGGCATTATACTCAGTCTGTAGTAGAGAAATAAAAATAGATTTTTCTTGCTGTCTTGGGGTTTATAGTCAGAAAAAATTATAAGAAAATACTTAAAGTCTGGTGTGTGCAAAGGAAAGACAGCAAAGGCAGTGTGGCTGAAGTGTGGTTTATTAGAAGAGAGAAGAATGAGTCTGGTGGGCCATAAGGAATTCCATGGTAAATAATGTGTATTTGATTGGAATTGTAAGGGAAGTTATTAAATTTGTTGTAAGCAAGGGAGAATCACAGTCACTTCAGTTTTGGGGAAAAAAAGATGACATGGGAGGGTGGGATTAAGAGTAGGAGTCATTAAGAAGGTTAAAGTAATACTGGGTATATAACTCAAGTGGTAAAGTACTTCCCTAGCAGTGGCGAGGTCCTGAGCTCAACCCCCAGTAGGGGAAGGGATGGGCAATTATAGGAGGTATTGTGGTGGGGCAGGTGAGAGGCTAGTACAATCTTAGTGGAAAGAAGGTAAAGGAGAGTGAGAGGAATTAAGTACAAATTTCAGGACATTGAACATCTAAGCAAGGGACAGTAAATGTACATAGTAAGTTCGAGGTGCTTTTGAAGCAGAATTAAAGTATTTAGACAGTGGTGGGCCATCTGAAACCTCAAAATCATTTGGTACTCAGCTTCTTGTAAGCTGCCCACAGCTGTCTGCCTTTATAATTGCATGTGTGTGCTTGTGCGCATGTGCATACACATGCATCACCCTAAGGCTTGAACTCAGCACTGGGTGTCGTCCCTGAGGTTTTGTGTTCAAGGCTAGGTTTTGTGTTCATACATGCTAAGCAAGTACTTACCACTAAGCTCCATTCTCAATCCCCACTCTACCACATTTGAACTACAGCTCCAGTTCTGGCTTTTTGGTAGTTAATTGAGATAAGAGTCTCAGATTTTTTTGCCCTGGCTGGCTTTGAACTGAGGTGCTCAGATCTCAGTGTCCTTTTTTTTTTTTTTTGTCAGCCATGGGGCTTGAACTCTGGGCCTGAGTGCTGTCCTTCAGCTCTTCAGCTCAAGGCCAGCACTCTACCACTTGAGCTACAGCGCCACTTCTGGTTTTCTGGTGGTTTATTTGAGATAGGAGTCTCACGGTCTTTCCTGCCCGGGCTGGCTTTGCTGGCTTTGAACTGCGATCCTTAGATCTCAGCCTCCTCAGTAGCTAGGATTACAGGCGTGAGCCACCAGTGCCCGGCTCTCAGTGTCCTTAATAGCTAGGATCATAGGCATGAGCCTCTAGCACCTGGCTTACACTGATAATTTAAAATGATATTATAAGTAAGTGGCCCTTGGCTGAGAAAAAGTTCCCTACCCCAGGTAGAAAGTGGCAACAAGCTAGGCACTTGTGGCTTCATACCTGTAATCCAGCTAATCATCTCACTAATATCTAAAGATCATAATTTGAAGTCAGCCCAGGCAGACATATCTAAGAGACTCTATATCTCTAGTTAACTAGCAAAAAGCTGGAAGTGGAGGTGTAGCTCAAGAGGTAGAGCACTAGCCTTGAGTGAAAAAGTCAAGTGAAAGTGCCAGGCCCTGAGTTCAAGCCACATTACCAGAATATACACAAAAAAAGCAAACAATTAGACAACAGAAACTGAAAAGTTATGTAAGAGTACAAGTACCAAGACAAAAGAAAAACATAGCTGCCAATTATTTTCTATCATAGGTGTCTTTCTTAGCTGTGTATCACTAATGAAAGAGTAATGAAGAGGTTGGAGAAGGAGGCAGTAAGCCCAGCCTCTGGGACAGCAAGAGAGTGACTAATTTTTATTACTTCTTCATTTACTTATTCAACGGCTATTTGTTGAATTCTTACTTTGTGGCAGGGATGCTAGCCATGGTTCCACTTCTGCTCTCATAAAGAAGCAGGAAAGCCAGGCGCTGGTGACTCACGTCTGTAATCCTAGGCTGGCATCTGAGGATCGCTGTTGGAAGCAGTCTGAGGAGTGAAGTCCATGAGGCTCTTATTTCCAATAAACTACTCAGAAAAAGCCGGAAGTGGCACCATGGTAGAGCACTAATCTTGAGCAAAAGAAGCTTAGAGGCAGAGCCCAGGCCCAGAGTTCAAGTCTCAGACCAGCAAAAAACAAAACAAAAAAGCAGGAAAATGTGGTGATGAAAGATATTTAATATGTCAGCAAATGAAGTTGGCCTTACTTGCTGTCTCCTGAGAAGGGCATGCACATTGCATTTGTTTTGTTTGCCATAATATTAGACATATAATATAAATATTGATGAAACTACAATTATAGAAATTGTTTTCTCTGGCTGTGTGTGTGTGTGTGTGTGTGTGTGTGTGTGTGTTGGTACTGGGGCTTGAACTCAGGGCCTGTGTATAATGCCTTAGCTTCCCCCCCCCTCTTTTTTTTTTTTAATAGTGAATATACTACAGAAGCGTTACAATTACATGGGCAAGATAATGAGGACATTTCTTAACAAGCATTGTTGCCTCCTCCTTTGTTTCCCCTTTCCATCCTTTCCCCATCCCCTACCCCCACCCCGCCTTAGCTTTTTGCTCAAAGCTGACACTCCACCACTTGAACTACAGCTCCATTTCTGGCTTTATAAGTAGGTAATTGGAGATAAGAGTCTCATGGACTTTCCTGCCCAGGCTGGCTTTGGACTTGGATCCTCAGATCTCAGTTTCCTAAGTATCTATGATTACAGCCACTAAAACTTGGCTTTTTCTGCATTTTTTTAAAACCTGAGTTCAAGGACAAAGCTAGTCTGATTTTGATTCGATTTTACAAATTTCTGGAATATTTATGACAGTAAGCAAGGGAGTCCTTTAAAAAAAAAAAAACAGTGTGATAAACCTGATAGAAACAACTCAAAAAGAGAGATTTATTTCGGCTCACAGTTTCTGAGGTTTCAGTCGGCAGGATATCCTTCTGGTGGGGCAGGACACATCATGGCAGCAAACATGTGCTAGAGCAAGGTTGTACACCTTCTGATGGCCAAGAAGTAGAGAAAGCAAGTCACCAAGGGGCTAAGGCAAGGTACAGCCTCAAAGTCACACTCTTAGTGATCTACTTTCTTTTTTTTTTTTTTTTTTAATTTAATTTTATTTTATTTGTGAACATACTGTACAGAGGAGTTACAGTTACATGGGCAGGATAATGCGTACA